GTATGAGTTATGTCAAACTTGCATACAATATAAACTCATGAACTGGACTTGGGCAGATGTGCTTAGGCTATTGTAGGATTTATACAGATCAGACTTATGCGAATTTTACTGTTATTTCTGAAAATTGACACTATAGTAGTGCCATGAGCACCCCACCCCTCATACTATTAATATATCATAAACATATCATATTGTTGTGTGCTTTTTTTCTCATTTGCAAAATATTGTGAGAGTTTCAGTTTTCAGTGAGAGTTGAATTTGAAAATTTGAAAACACATCATTGATTATTTTTAATTTTAAAAATAGTCATGTGTTTCCCACCCCCTCTCCTCCCTCTCTACCTTCCTCTCTCTCTTAGTCTTTCGCCTGAAACTATTCTGAAACGTCAGTGAGTGAGTCGGTGGATGTACAAGTGGTGACTTTTAAACCTCAACACCCTTTATCTGCCCCCCAATCCCACTCCCACTCGGTGCTCAAAAGGTTAAATGACCGTGAAATAAATGAGTTAGATCTTCAGCAAGACATCAGCTGGGAAATAATCAGAGGGGACTGTGAGAGAGAGGAAGGGGGGATAAAGGAACATAATGTGAATTGTCACACATGCACAATGTCATTCTCAATTCTCCAGAGATTTGTATTATATATTATATAGATATTGGTATTTAAAAATCGCGCCCCGAGTGGTTTGAAATGAAACCTTTTCAATAGGTGCAGAAGCTGTCACTCCTCATCTGCGCTGGGGTTTTCTGTGCAATAGAGAAAGTGAGAGAGAAAAACATGAGAGCAAGTGAGAGAGCAAGTGAGAGAGTGAATGAGTGAGTGAGTGAGTGAGGGAGAGTGAATGAGTGAGTGAGTGAGTGAGAGAAAGAGTGAGTGAGTGAGTGAGTGAGTGAGTGAGTGAGTGAGTGAGTGAGTGAGTGAGTGAGTGAGTAAGAAAGAGAGTGAGTGAGTGAGTGAGAGAATGAGTGAGTGAGAGAGAGAGAGAGAGAGAGAGAGAGTGTGAGTGAGTGAGTGAGTGAGTGAGTGAGTGAGTGAGTGAGTGAGTGAGTAAGAAAGAGAGTGAGTGAGTGAGTGAGTGAGAGAATGAGTGAGTGAGTGAGAGAGAGAGTGAGTGAGTGAGTGTGAGTGAGTGAGTGAGTGAGTGAGTGAGAGAGAGTGAGTGAGTGAGTGAGTGAGTGAGTGAGTGAGTGAGTGAGTGAGTGAGTGAGTGAGAGAGAGAGTGAGTGAGTGAGAGAGAGTGAGTGAGTGAGTGAGTGAGTGAGTGAGTGAGAGAGAGAGAGAGAGAGAGAGAGAGAGAGAGAGAGAGAGAGAGAGAGTGAGAAATATAGTGAGAAAAAGACAGTGAATGACAGAGAGAGAAAGTGAGTGAGAGAGAAAACTGTGGATATTTCTCACATCTGAGACACGAGCTGATAAATAAACAAATCGTGAGCTGAACAAACAAATGAGGTCCCGCCGCCGAGAAAGCTCTTTAATTTGCATTTTCTGTTAATAACACAAAGACCTTTACCAAAATCATACTCAGGTAACTGTTAGATGGAAAGCTGTCTGTCACCCTGATATATATATATACCCCTCCACAGTACCCTGACCTGCCCAATACTCACACACCTGTACAGTGAATGCTCACACACCTGTACAGTGAACGCTCACACACCTGTACAGTGAATGCTGACACACCTGTACAGTGAATGCTTACACACCTGTACAGTGAACGCTCACACACCTGTACAGTGAACGCTCACACAGCTGTACAGTGAATGCTCACACACCTGTACAGTGAACGCTCACACACCTGTACAGTGAATGCTGACACACCTGTACAGTGAATGCTCACACACCTGTACAGTGAACGCTCACACACCTGAACAGTGAATGCTGACACACCTGTACAGTGAATGCTCACACAGCTGTACAGTGAATGCTCACACAGCTGTACAGTGAATGCTCACACAGCTGTACAGTGAATGCTCACACACCTGAACAGTGAATGCTGACACACCTATACAGTGAATGCTCACACAGCTGTACAGTGAATGCTCACACAGCTGTACAGTGAATGCTCACACAGCTGTACAGTGAATGCTCACACAGCTGTACAGTGAACTGGATTAAGTACTCTCTGATCGTTACCGTATCAAACTGCAAGCTTCCAAAAGATAAAAAGCCCCAACACCATCAAAAGATTTCATCCACAAAATATACAGCCAATTCACCTTACACTATACGCTGTGAAGCGCTTTGAGACGTCTCGGAGACATGATAAGGCACTATATCAAACGCAAGGATTAATATTAATTATTATTAACTCCCCTTAAGTTGCCCCAATCTGTGTGAGGAGAGTGGGACTGGGATGAGTTCTGGTTTGGTAAGCACAGCATTTCTATATGATCCAGTGTTATTTTCTTAATATTTTTTGTTTCACAGGGGAAATGAGTTGGCGCTGAGTGTTTCAAAGCAACTGTTGTCAGCACTTGGCGTTTTAACATTTGCTGACAAATCGTTAACCTCAATTGAACGACATTTGAACAACTTTTAAGATTCCCCCCTTTCCCTTTCTCTCTCTCTCTGTCTCTCTGTCTCTCTTGTGCGATGTTGGTCTGGCATCCCAATCCCCGCAATCCTGCGTGAGATTTACATCAACGCTATTTTACATACATGTGTACAATATATTTAGACCCAAAAGAAATTTCGCCCACAACATATACAGTCAAATCGCTTCATAGTATATTCTAGGAAGCGCTTTGAGACGTCTCAACGATGTGATAAGGGGCTGTATCAAATGCAAAGAGTATTAATATAACCATATCATTACTGTAATATTAATTATTATTATAAATACGTGCATCCGTACGCGATCATATAGAGATGAAACTTGAGCCTATTTCTACAGAAAATCGTCTTAGGGAGGGGGTGGGGGGAGGAGAGAGATCAGGTATGTCTAAATAAATAGCATTGATATAACAAATGTTTATGTTATTTTATTTAAATGCAGAAGAGGGTGAGAAGACGGTGTAAAATGCTCCCCCTCCCTTCTCGCCAGAATTTGGGCTTATTTAGATGCGATGTATGTGGGGGTTTTTTTTGCACACTCAACAAGACGTAAGAGACGAGAAAAGTTTTTTTGCGGGGAGGGGAATTTGCATAATAAGCCATTGCTCGCCTCTCTGTGTCCTGTCCACTGTCACTAACTCACTGGTCTGTCTCTCTGAACCCACCTTAACTGATATTAAAATAGCAACGCGCTGGTGTTTCGTGGTGTCAGTTTTCAGCGTGAGACTGGACCAGAAACTACACACGTTTAATATCATGCACAATATGTGTGTAGATATAAAGGAATAAACACCTCAAAGGGGTGGGGGGATCGTTTGTGTGCACGTTAATTTAGGCATAAATCACAATAAAGTCATTACAAGGGACGGGACTGTGATCGCGTTGATTGAAATCTAATAGCGGCTTTCAATTTGTCATATTACCAGAGGGACACAGGGGGGTTTGAGTGAAGGCGGGGGCTTCACTGGTCCCCTGGGCACAACCCATTGATGGTTATAATAATAACGTCCCCCCCCCCAACCCTCACACACTCAACGAAAATTACATCTGATTGTTTCCTCGATTATTTCACCGAACTTTTATTTTTTGCTTTGCAGAGGATCATTCCCCACAGTAATTGCAAAAGACACGCATTTCCAAGGGAAGGGGTGTGTGTCTGTGTGTGTGTGTCTGTGTGTTTGTGGGGGGAGGGGGGGGGGTTATAGACTAAATGAATCTAATTTTCATCTGTGATAACAAAAGCACTTTATTTCGGAGGTGGGGAGGGAGGAGAGGGTAGAGTGTGAGCAGCAGCTAATTTATCTCGATAAGAGCCCCGCGCTCCAAATTAAGCATAAAGTGTTCGTAAAAAGCAAAACAAAAGTTTTGTTTTACCTTAAAACGTGCAAATCCATTTTCATTTCCATCATCCTCTTTTTGCACGAGTTTCCAAATTAATTTCCAATCTCCCCCTATATATATATGCATATATATATATAAACGATTTCACCTTAAAACCAAGTTACATTTTTTTAAAAAAATACATTTTTTATATTCTTTTTTATTTAAAAACAAATAAAAAGCGTTAGCATTTTTCTAGTATGGTTCACCGGGGAGGTGTGTGCGTGCGTGTGCGTGTGTGTGTGTCATTTTATTTCTTTATAGAAAAAAATCTTCATTTTAAAAACGCTTAACTTTAATGTTCGATAAAGGGTATGATTTTTTGTTTAAAAAACACGAACCAAAAATCTGAACTTTTTCCAACCAGGACAGGACAACGAGGTGCAAAAATGCTAACAGTTGGTACTTAAGCGCAAATTGTTCTTTGTTTGGCGCCTCAATTATTTAAGGAAGCCACCAGCTTCTCTCTCTCTATCTCTCTCCATCCCTCCCTCCCTCCCTCCCTCCCTCCTCCTCACCCCCAAATAAGGCTATTTAGATGCTTTCCAGATGAGTGGAAAGGCGCTGAAAAAGCCTTGACAGCCAAGTATATCAGAGGTAACATCATCCGTCTCTCTGTGATGTAGATTAGAGGCTATTAGGGGCGAGGGATTAATTTGTAGCCAATTACAAAACGGTCCTGAATATGAATGCATAAATAACATTCAGCCCTGTGTGTGTGTGTGTGTGTGTGAGTGAGTGTGTGAGTGAGTGAGTGAATGAGAGAGAGAGAGAGAGAGAGAGAGGGACACAGCAATGTCGAGAGAAGAGTCCTAAGCGGACAGTGGACTGTGGATAAAACCCCTTTAAAGATCTGGAACACTTTCTGACTCACGTTCACAACTGATCCGACGCCAGAGTGGAACCGGATTCAACCCCGACTGATATTACAACAATATTTTTTTTTTTGGGTGGGGGGTGGGAGGGGGGGGGGGGGGTGGGGGGGGGGGGGAGGAAGGGAGAGAGAGAGAGAGAGAGAGAGAGAAAAAAAAAGAGAAAGACTTATTAAAACAGCGACCGAGTGAGTCATGAATGTGAACCGAGACCAGGTGCAGACTGGTGACATCTCCTTACCCTCTCCAGCGGTGCCGGAGCCCGTGTCCTGTAACCCGCACAAGGAAGGGATGGAGGTGAGTGGGGACCAGAGACTCCCAGACAGTGATCCCGCCGCCTTCTCCTGCCCCGACAGCCGGGAGAGACGGGGGGGGGACACGCAAGCCATCTCTGGCCCGGAGGCGGGGGTGGCCGTCCCCGCTCCGACCTGCAACAGGACCACTCCTTTCTCAGTCTTGGACATTTTGGACCCGAACAAATTTAACAGCGGCAAACGGCGCCCGCAGTGTGGCGTCCCCCGCAGAGCCGGCGGCGACCACCCGGCCCCGGGGGCCGGGGACAGGGCTGGTGGGGACCCCGCGTTTAGTGCCACTGCAGAGCACACAGCCATCGGCCACAGCGCTCTGGAGCCGCGCAAGAAACAGTCTGACCCGATCAGTGAGTAACTCTGCTGTTCTCTCCGGGACATTTGTTGTTGTTGTTTTTTTTTTACGCAACGAAAGATCAGGAATGTGCTTCGCGTTGTCCCTTTGCAATTGCTGGAAGAGATATTTTTAAAAATATTGTATTCCCCCACCCCCACCCCCCCTCCATCCACCACCACCCCACCCTCCTCCTCCCATCCCCACCCACCCACCCACCACCATCCCTTCTCCCTCCCCTCCCCTCCCCACCCCCAGCAAAAAGTTATCTACTGTTTTTTGGGGGTCAGCCAAGTGTCTGCCACATGTGGAAACCCATCACTGTGGTTAAGGGCATCCAAACTGGACTGAGAATCCCACCCATCCCACCTGTACATGGAAATCCCAAAGATAGATTGTATATAAAGTAGAAATGTGTGTGTGTACGTATATATTTTTTTAAAAGTTACTTCTAAAAGTATACATATATATATCAGAGGGTACCATCATCCGTCTCTCTTTCTCGCTCTCCCTCTGTGATGTAGATTATAGGCTTATATACGCAATTATATATATTTGTATATAATTTTAAAACTATATATATATATATATTTACCCTGATATACTTGGCTGTCAGGTATTTTTTAAATAGGGGAAAATAAACAATATTTCTATATTGTTCTGCTGCCTCAGGGTTTGGGTTCCCACATCCCCATCTCAAAACGTTTTGGGTCCTCTCTCTCTCTTATCTCTCTCTCTCTTTCTCTCTCAGTAAGTTTGCAGTAAACTGCAAAGTGGAAGCCACTTTTTTTTGTGGTGGAGGGTGCAGGGGGGGGGGGGGGGGCACCGAAGCAACTTCCCATCTGTAAATAAATGTGCAGTGTAAGAGTCTCCCCCTCTCCCCAACTCTCTCTCCAAACCCGTATCAGCTATTGGGACTCAATCGTGAGTTGCGATGGCTTTTGAGAGGCAGATGTTTTTAAGGTAAGGTTTTTTAAACAGCGAGCGTGTCTATTACAAAAATATATATAAAGTTATGCCTATGAACCATGGCTTCGGTGTATCACACGCTAATAATGATAATAAATGATAGCGTTTAAATATATATATGTATACACATATCGTTATTGATGGTATTAACAATATTATTCATATTATTATTGATGGTTTAGGTCCATTAAGTAAAGATTTGTGATTTTCAATCTTTGATATCATACTAAAAAGTCCATTTTTTTAAAATACCAATGTGTGGGGCTTCACCAAGACCATGCGATTTCGTGATATATTTAATATTTAATATATTTTTTAAAATCAAATGTTTAGCATAAAAGAAGATGTTGCGTTATTAACTGCCGACAGTAGAGATTCCCTGCAAAATACTTATTATACGGCATTCAGGTATTATATATATTATGTGTATATATATAGAGAGAGAGGGAGAGAGACAGATTACTTACTGAAAACATACGAATCCCCGCTGTTTAAAAGCGCTTTACACACAATCTTTCAAAGGCATCTCTGGACTTTATCCTTCATGCTTTGGGCGACAGATTCAATTTTCTCTCTCCCCTTCGTTTTTTTTTAGGACGAATCAGACTAATTGTGACAAAACGCTGGTTATCTCTAGAAAAAACAATTAAATGCTTTCGATTACATTTAAGGTAAAATGTGCTTAGCAACGTTAAAAAGCACTTATAATGGCGAAAATCGCCCCCAGAGTGACACACTGAGCCGAGGTGATCGATACTCTATTATCGAGTTCTGCATATCTCTTTCAAACAGCTTGCAAACACTCCTAAAACGTCTAAATTATAGGGTCAAAATTCGGATAATTACTCGATTAAAACGTATTACAGTTATTAGTGGCGGCTATTGATCGTGTATTGCTTTCGACCCAGATTCCAGATTGCAACCTGCACAAGTCTTTCAAAAATATATACATATACCCCCCCCCCCCCACACACACACACACACTCCCCCACCCACACCCCCACACACCCACAGACACTAACTTTCTTGCACTGATCTGGTACATTTGAGAACGGGGATTCTTTCAGTCATCAAATATTGCCTTTCTTGGAGCTTAAAGGTGAAGAGAGAAAAAAAACACAGACGGACAAAAGTTGGTGCGGAATAGGGAATGATGTACTGTATTTCGACTTTTTTTTTTCCTGTTTTGCTCAGTTTCGTTTTGTCGGATCTGGGTTTTTTTTTTGCAGGTTTAAGTTGTTTTATGGGGTGGGTGGGAGGGTGGAAACAGTTTGAAAAGAGAAAGATTCGATCGAACGGGATCGAGATGTTTTGCAAAATAAACCAACAGCATTTTGGGTTTAAATCATAATTATAAATAAGAACAGTCTGGGAAGGTCATCTCGTCAGTTGTCAGCGTTCCCACGGGGAGTGTTGTTTTTGTTATATAACACACATAAACACATGGCTCACTTTACACGTTAATTAAATGATAGGAAGGAGTGGGGGGTGGAGGGGGGTGGGGGGGGGGGGATACAGACAGAAGTTCATAACCATCAGAAACCATCAGAAACGTCGCTGTGATTTGCATTAAAAGTGCTAAACGTTTTCAGGTCCTGTATTATTTTTGTTCCCCGCGGTCCGCCCTAATGAGGCCCTAATATGATCGCAATTAATTTAAATGTCTCTGCAATTAGTTGGTGGTAATAAGGCGAAATCTGCTTATGTAGCGACCGATCGTTTTAATTAACGCCGCGTTACATCCCTCTCTCTGTGTGTCTCTCTCTCTCTCTCTCTCTTTCTGCCTTTCTTTTTATAAACCGGATTACTTGTGTGTGTGGGGGGTTTCTCGCGAAGCTTTTAGCACTCTTTAAGCAGTACTCTGACGTGCGGCAATATTTTATATTATTGAAACCCGAAGCCAGGAATTCGCCCCATATTCCCAAATAATCAGACGCACAGTTCGGTTGCAGCTGTATTTCCAGGTACAGGTAACTGGATGTGTTTCTGCAGATGCAGAGCTGGCGCAGAGATTGCTCACAATAAACACGAGGTGATTTCTAACGAGCTCTCGGTGTTGTGCGTTCTCACTTCCAACCCAAACGCAGCGTTCAGGTGGTTCTGGCGGCGCAAATCGATGAATCTTCGCAAATAACTCGCTGACAATCGCAGGTCATCATCCAAACCATATTGTGGTCCTGACTGATCAGGCAGTGGGGAAGCTGGTCAGACAGCGATATCAATGGCAGGCTTGTGGTTTTAGCTGGTTACCCCGACACGCACTCTGGGGTCCCCAAACCTGGGCTCTGGCCACCCTGTGCCTAATACTCTCTGGAATTAGGTAAACAGGATGTGTCCCTCCAGGGAGAGAGTCACATTCCACCCCAACAATCTACCTCTGGGATGTGTAGGTGGGATGGATGGACATGTGTTTGGCTTTTTGGATGCTCTTCAGCATGGGGATGGGTTTCCGCAGGTACCAGACACACACTCGGTTGACCACCCCCCCCCCCCCCCCCCCCCCCCACACCCACCCAAAAAAATCTTAATTTTCAGTTTCCAAGTTGCTCTACAGATGAAGCAAAAAGAGATGTGCAAATAAATATAAGTTAAAAAGCGAAGAAACCACCGAACACCCCTCCACACACACACACACACACACACACACAACTATCCAACCGGAGGCTTTAATTGAATAATTTATTTCGGTTTAAAAAAAATCCAGCTGTTTTCCTTCGAACTTTTTAAAACTGTGGCCAAAAGGAGGCACCGTGTCCCGGTGATTTTTTTTGGCCCCCAATTTGCTCGACTGGTTTAAAATAATGAACATAACCCGGTACTGTTACTGAGATAATACGATGGGATCTGAGACACATCCTAATCCGCCTTTAATATCTGTGCTGAAGGTGGAGGTGTGATCCAGAGCAGATCAGGAGTCGCTTAGGAACATAAGAACATAAGATTTGCTGGAAAAAGAAGACCCCGATCCACCTGGTTCGCCTCCACCATCCTACCAGTCACTTGACATGTCGTGTCCCAAACTCTATAAGTTAAATGACATTTTTTTAAAAAAAACCAATCGCTTGGACAAGAGATAATGGGAATTGGCGTTTTACTCTAAACGGTACAACTCGCGCAAATTAATCGTTATCAACTTTTTTGGGGGTAACTTTGCATTTGTTTAGATAAAAGATCTCTTTCTCGCTCTCTCTCTCGCCCAGAAATGCGCAGTGACATGACTGTATGTATGTGTTTTTTATGCGTCCAATTTGTACCTATTGATCATTCAGATTGCAATGTTACCAAACCATTGTACAGTATAGCCCGTAAACACCTGTGTGTGTGTGTGTGTGTGTGTGTGTGTGTGTGTGTCTGTGTGTGTGTGTGTCTGTGTGTGTGTGTGTGTGTGTGTGTGTGTGTGTGTGTGTGTGTGTGTGTGTGTGTGTGTGTGTCTGTGTGTGTGTGTGTGTGTGTCTGTGTGTGTGTGTGTCTGTGTGTGTGTCTGTGTGTGTGTGTGTGTGTGTGTGTCTGTGTGTGTGTGTGTGTCTCTGTGTGTGTGTGTGTCTGTGTGTGTGTCTGTGTGTGTGTGTGTGTCTGTGTGTGTGTGTGTCTGTGTGTGTGTCTGTGTGTGTGTGTGTGTCTGTGTGTGTGTGTGTGTCTGTGTGTGTGTCTGTGTGTGTGTGTGTGTCTCTGTGTGTGTGTGTGTCTGTGTGTGTGTGTGTGTGTGTGTGTGTCTGTGTGTGTGTGTCTCTGTGTGTGTGTGTGTCTGTGTGTGTGTGTGTGTCTGTGTGTGTGTGTGTCTGTGTGTGTGTGTGTGTCTGTGTGTGTGTGTGTCTGTGTGTGTGTGTGTGTGTGTCTGTGTGTGTGTCTGTCTGTGTGTCTGTCTGTGTGTGTGTCTGTGTGTGACTTGCAGTGTAATTGCACAAAACATTTCAAATGCAATGCATTTTTTCATGTTGTCTTTCTCACTCTGTGTCTCACTCTCTGTCTCACTCTCACTCTCTCCCCCTCTCTCCCTCTCTCCCCCTCACATCTCGCACCCACAGAAGACGGAGACCTTGTGGACAGTTACAAAGCGGACGGCTGTGACAAAGACTTTTGTAGGAGTTTAGAGAGCGACCGTAACAACAACAACAACAACAGCAACAACAGCGGCGGCGGCGGCGGCGGCGGGAGCTGCAGTCACAGCCCAGCGCGGAGCTGCGGGGGTGTGGGGGGAGCCCTGGCCGCCTCTGGGGACAGGATCCGGGGGGTGGACGAAGAGGAGGAGGGGGACGAGGATGGGGGGAGAGGGGAGAGGCCGGGGAGCCGCTCCAGCCTGAGCGCCAGCCCTCAGCACAGCCCCCCAGGTCAGCAGCAGCAGCAGCAGCCCCCGCCGCCGCCGCCGCCGAGCCCGGCACAGCAGCAACACAAGAGCAAGAGGAAGCGGAGCGGCGCGGACGCCAAGTCGGGCAAACCCCGCCGGGCCCGCACCGCCTTCACCTACGAGCAGCTGGTGGCCCTGGAGAACAAGTTCAAGTCCACCCGCTACCTGTCGGTGTGCGAGCGGCTGAACCTGGCGCTGTCCCTCAGCCTGACCGAGACCCAGGTCAAGATCTGGTTCCAGAACCGCAGGACCAAGTGGAAGAAGCAGAACCCGGGGGCCGACACCAGCGCTCCCACCGCAGGGGGCGGGGGGGGAGGCTCCGGGGGAGGGCTGGGACCCCCTCCCATGGCCAGTCTCAGCCCCGTCAGCTCCTCCCCTCCCCTGGGAGGCCCGCTGTCCATGCACTCTTACCCCGGGGCAGGGCTGGTGTGCACGGCTCAGCTGCCCTTCCTCTCCTCGCCGGCCGTCCTCTCGCCCTTCATGCTCACCTCGCAGCCCTACGGGGCGCCCGCTTTTTACGCACCGCACTTATAAACAGGGCGACAACAACGCTGGTGTTGGGTGTGTGGGGGTGGGGTGGGGGGGTGGGGGTGGGGGGGTCTGGGGTGGGTAGATAGGTAGGTATGTGGGGGTGGGGGGGGAGTGCAACGGATTTTTTTTAGAAAAAATAATATATTTCCCCCCTCCCTCCATCCCCCCAAATTGCTCCATCACACTTCTTTTTAAAAAAAATACGCATCGCTCCCCCCAAATTGTTGCAACCTGCAACTTTACATTTCCTCCACCACTCTTTAAGTTAAAGACACAAATATATTCCCCCCTCCCCATCCCCCTCCCCTCCCCCTCCCCTCCCCTCCCCCTCCCCCTCCCAAACAACAATGCAGTAATTCCTTCAAACACTGCTCAAGAAATATATCACCCACAAATTGCTACAATTTCCTCAAGCACTCTTATTTAAAGAAAAAATAGATATATCTCCCCCCCACCCTCACCCCCCCCCCCCCCAAAAAAAAAATGCTGCAATCTGTAAAGTCACAGTCCCTCAAACACTCTTATTTTACGCACCGCATTTATAACAAGGGTATGTGTGTGGGTGTGTGGGTGTGTGGAGGTGCAACAGGTGTTTTTTTAGAAAAGAAAAAATAATATATCTCCCCCCCCACCCCACTCGCCCCCCCAAAAAAAAAATATTGCTGCAATCTGCCACATCACAGTCCCTCAACAACGACAGTATACTTATTTATGTTGGCGTTAAATATATAGTGTAGATTGCCCGTCCTGTGTGAGCAGAGCTCTCTCTCTCTCCGTCTCTCTCTCTCTCTGTCTCTCTCTATCCAGCGCTATGGCTGAGAGATCTGCTGGCTCACAAAGTCAGTGCAGATCGATTAAACCCAACCACAAGGTGCCAGTGTGTGTGTGTCTGTGTGTACGTGAGGGGGGGGGGGGGGTTATTTTGCAATTATTCCAACAAACAGGGGGTCTCTGATGGTCAGGGAAAACAGATGAACAACAACAAAAAAAAACAATTTGCAATAGTGAGCAAAAAAAAAGGGTCACCCTTTGAAGGTTTTTTTTTAAAAAGATGCCAAATAAATCCAAGTTGGCAAATGCAGAGAGAGAGAGAAAGAGAAAAAAAACACTCGCTTTCGTGTCACCCAAATGTGAGTGAGCCGAGCCACGCAATCTTATTGATTTTTATTTGAAAAAGAAACTTATTATTTGAATGTATGGGAGTGTTGGTGACATTGGGGAGCAGCTGAGGGGATGGGGGGGTGTAGATCTATCCAAACACACGCAGGTTCCCAGGGACCGACCGCTCCTGTAGTGGATCACATGAAATTAACAAAAAAAACGCTCCCAATTTGGATCCCAAAGCGCTAACGTTTCCATCAAAATCTTCAGTGAGAAAACACGGCATCCGACACACACACACACACACACACACACAGAGAAATAATATTAATAGTGACTCGGATCCTACAGAGATCACAGAGATTGATACAAAACGTGTCGGGGTGAAAGTTCCGTTCCCCGGGACATCACTGCGACTCCTGTTTTTATATATACTGTATATTATTTCGCACAAGTTTATTGATAACAACGATTTTTTTTGGGGGGAAGGAGGGGAATTAAATGTCACCGCGATCCTGTGTATAAACCTTGACAAAGCTGTGTATGTGTGGGGGGATGTTTCATGAATTAGGATACAGGGATATAGGAATGTCTCTGTAAAAAGGAAAGTGTCCCAATCCTCTTAAGTCATTTAAACTTTTAAATAGTTTGTTTGTTTAAAGGGACATTTCCCTACGTGTTGCCCAGCTCCACTGTTCCACATTATTCTAAAGAATTATCAATTGTAATTATCAATATATAATTATCAATTACAGGTGAATCGATCACCAACTTTTTTTTAATGCCACAGAATTTCAGAAACGATTCTGCTTAAAATGTCCTGATTTCGGTTTCTCTGATTGAATTGCTTCCTTAACCGAAAGTGCAAGGTTTACTGGTTACCTCCTCTGTTTTCTCTCACCCTCCCCAGGAGAGAGAGAGAGAGAGAGAGAGAAAAAAAATAGCAATACAGGAAACTAATAAAAAAAAATCCCTTTGCAAATAACGCTGAGAATTTCGCCCACAAAATATAGTCAACTCACTTTATAGTATGTTCTGTGAAGTGTGGAAAGGAGGGGAAATTAGGTGATTATTTGCCTCTTACCCCCTCCACACACACACACACACACACACACACAGTCACGACCAGACCAGATCCCTTTTTTACTTTAAAAAAATCCGATTCCGAATCAAGCGATAGGCAAACCCAGATCTTCCAAAGTTATACTGAGACTTCAACAACAAAATAACATGGAGAAGGAAGAGGGGAAAGTGTGTGTGTGTGTGTGTGTGTGTGCATTTGTGTCAGTGTGTGGAGGGGGCGGTTAAAAGAGAGACAGAGAGAGACAGAGAGTGAGAGAGATGCGTTTTATTTCACTGTTAATTAGAATTAATTCACCATCAAACAGAGAATTGCACATCATTTTGCTCTATTCTGGCGATTGCCACTCAATTGTTGAACCCCCCCCCCCACCCCACACACACACATCCTCACCAACACAAAAGTGGAGTCGACTTAAACAAATGAGAGGGTCGCTTTGAACTTGAAATAACCTGCAAAACAAGAACTCGTGCCACGGATTGTTTGGTCTGTTTTCTATTTATTCCTTTTCTCGCAGTCTGTCTGCAAAAAATACTTTAACGTAGTGCTTAGTAGAACCAGTCTGATCAAAGCAGAACAGATTTCTATTTGTCTTTTATTATTATTGCTATAATATTGTTGTATCTCTGTCTTCTGTAAAAAAAAGAGTAACACACATTTCCAAGTCTCAGGGTAAATAGATTTACAGTCGTGGGGGTAACAGATCTGCAGGTAACAGGCAAAGGGAAATAATTATTCATTACTTGAATTACAATTTGTGTGTAAATATTTACTGTATATATATTTAAAAAGGGAAATCAGACGTGGGACTAAACATGATCTGGAAGAATCCTGAATCACTAAACTACACCATACTTTTGTTTAAAGAAATAAATAAATATAATGAACGTGAAGTAGTGCCAGAAAACACGGCCACAATCTGTTGGGATGGATTTTTTTTTCTCTCCTCTCTCATTTTTATCATTGCATATTTATGATGTCCTATGGTTGGATTTGTAATTGATGTCACTTATGGAAAAGAGCGGCATTGCCGCAATTATATGGTGAAACATAACGAAAGAGCACTTTGGTAGCTGAAAATAAATACTTTAAAAAAGAAATGAACAATCAATAAAAAAATGAGTCTATGCTAAACCTTCCAGTTGGCTTCTTGTGTTTGTTGTATGCCCTTTATAGGTTATTGTACAGGGGGTAACATAGACTTGTGGAGAGAGGATCTGTCACCTCATTATTAACAGCAAGTCACACCCAACACACCTTTTGCGGTCCCCATTGCCAATCTATATGTATATATGTGTGTGTATGTGTGTGTAAACATATATATGGTGTGTATACAGTATCTGCTGTGTGCAATTGGCTGCCGCATTTCGCTTACAAAACAGTCAATTCACTTTACAGTTTATTCTGTGAAATGCTTTGAGACGTCTCAAAGACGTGATAAGGTGCTATATCAAATGCAAGGATTATTATCTTGTGTGTTTGTATATATAATATATAACTTGTGTATGTATATATATCTTGTCCGTATATATACACTGTATATATATATATATATGTACATTTCCCTTCAGTCTAATCTGCTGCTGTCTCACACAGCGTCATTCACTGTGTCCTCTTTCGTTCTCCAACTCTTTCATTCGCAGATAAAACAACTATTTCCTTTGGGGGAATAGATATTGCTCCCCCCTACCTCTGCAACCTTTTAACCCACAGTGGGCTCCAGCCTGCTTCACGTCCCCCGCATCTCCCGCCCCACCATTGGTGGTCGGGCCTTCAACCACTCTGCCCCCACCCTCTGGAACTCCATCCCGCAGTCCCTCTGCCTCGCCCCCTCGCTTGCCTCCTTGAAGACCCATCTCAAGATCCTCCTCTTTGACCATGCCTTTGATCACCCTTCTTTCCTGCCCTCCACCCTCCCCAATCCTGACCCCCGTCTCGGGTTCGAAACATTGATTGGTCCTGCGGCTTGGGATGTTTTTCTGACGTGAAAAGGTCTAGACACATGTAATTTTGGTGTATATATATATTAGTATATTGCGTGTATGTATATATGGTGTATATATTGTGTGTTTGTGTATATATAGTGTGTATAGGTATATATATATTGTGTGTTTGTGTATATATATTAGTGTGTACAGGTATATACATGTTGTGTGTTTGTGTATATATACATATATTGTATATATACGTATATATGTTGTGTCTATATATAGTGTGCTTGTATATATACATATTGTGTATGTGTATATATATTGCGTGTATGTATATACATAGTGTGTGTATATATGTGTGTATATATACTATTTACTTGTATATATACATATTGTGTGATTGTATATATACATTTTGTGTGATGTATATACATTGTGTATATATGTGTGTATATATATTGTGTGTATATATAGTGTGTTTGTATATATAGTATATATCTTATGTGATAATACAAAAGATAAAATAACATATTTTTAAAAATAGCCAAAACGTTTTAAATCTATGAATAAATCCCTCAGCCCAGACTCACCCACTTTGCTGACTAGTTCTCACACATGTTTATGTATAATTTGAATTTTTTCTTCATTCTCACCATTGCTATATAAACCAATAATAGTTAAATATTTCCACATTATTTGCATGATTTGTACATTTTATTTGAGCAAACATGCAGCGGAATTTAAAAATAATAGGAAAAAAAGTTGTTAGATTCTTCAGAATAATTGTCCTCACTTTTTTTACGTTTTATTGTAAGCATATTTTGCATTGTATTCCCTTCCCCCAAGTTTATTTATTCATCATCTAATTCCTTGTTTTCCCACGTTTCTCAAAATTGTGTCATATTTACTTTGCTTGTCGCTTTTACTTTAATTTTTTTAATTAAAAAAAATCCTACCCTGTGTAAAAAACATTTTAATTTCACCTCCTTTCTTAGGGTTTATGTGTGGATATATTTACAGTTTCTTATCTCACTGTTAAACTGTTGGGAAAATTACAGTCAACTTTATGCATGAAGCAACTTTTTGAAACTCTTGTCCTTGGACAAGGATCTATCTGGCTGTAAAAACACCCAAAATACCTGCCCATTTGGGAGTGAGGGGGGTGGGTGCGTGGGAGGGAGAGAATCCTTAACTATTATAAGAGATTTCATTTATGAAGCTAATTATTTATGATTAATATTTCTTTGAATCCTGTCACCATGATCTTGCTACTAATCATATTAAACACTCTGCTGAAAACATTGCACTTCCCTTAATTTAGCAAGGGTTATTATAAGAGTATTAATATGAGTGCAATTTGCCCACAAAACAGTCAATTCACTTTACAGTATATTCTGTGAAGAGCTTTGAGATGCCTGAATGATGTGATACTACGATATATCAAATGCAAGGATTATTATTATTATTAGAATTTGCTGTGCTCCCAACAGTGGAGTCCCGTAATGTTGTGGTTAGAGCACTCGTCTGGCAAGTGTGAGGACCCAGGTTTGATTCCGGGCTGCGGCAAAATTTTAGGCAAGTTTCCTTACTCCACATGCCTCTGTTTACCTAGCAATAAGTAGGAACCTGGTTGTTAGTCGATTGGCAGATCGCTTTCTGGGGTTACTAGTCCTTTAAAAAAAATTGTTCATTCAATCCACGACTGTTTGTGGGACACTGCTGTGCGCAATTGGTTGCCACGCTTCGCCCTCAAAATGTACAGTCAATTCACTTTGCAGTATATTCTGTGAAACGGTTTGAGATAACTCAACGATGTAATAAGGCGCTATATCAATGCAAGAATTATTATTATTATTAACAGTTCCTAGCTGTTGGTGCCAATGTGTTAAATTAAGTCAATCCCATTCGCTGTTCGCCCTTGTTTGCATCCCTGTATGAAGACTTCAACAACTTTCCCTGTGACTGATGAAGTGTGAGGAATTCATGATGTCTGACACAAAATTTGCTTCTCTTCACGGAAACTTATATCCCCAAATGTAAATTGACTCGTGTGTAAAAAATATAAGTTGTTTAACATGAATACTTAAATGCCTTCTGCCACTTACTTGGGGCAGCGCCTGCTGGCCATCAGAGGGCACACTCCACACAAACCCTGACCCTCTCAACACCAAGCAAAGCAGCCTCAACACTCAACAAAATCATACACAGCAAACGTGAAGTTTTATATTCCTAAAGGTTAAGCATATTGATGATATAAATATTTCTATTGATGGCTCTTTGATTTTTAGTCTTTTTTAAGTTTGAGTCAACCCGGTGTCTGACACATGTGGAACCCCATCCCCGTGCTTAAGAGTATCCAAACCAAACTGAGATTTCCATGTATCCCACCAACACATGGAAATCCCAGAGATAGATTGTTGGAATGGAATGTGCACTCTCTCCCTGGAGGGACACATCCTGTTTACCTAATTCCAGAAAGTATTAGGAGCAGGTTGGCAAGAGCCAAGACTTGGGGAGTAAGGATTATTATTATTATCTTATCCTCCGATCAAACATATACTATTCAGACAGAGCAGGGGTAAAGCATGTTCGATCGCCAATGTATGGTGCCACTGGATGCTAATTAAATCCTCTGCTCAGATTAAGTGTATGACTCAGTGTATGAGACAGTAAATTAAGATCCCTAGTTAAAGGAGCTGTATCAATGCTAGACAGACCTTGGCTTTATTAATATCAGCCTGGCTCAGTTGGTAGCACTCACATCCTGAGTCAAGAGGGTTGAGGATTCTGAGACGTTTGTTTGGGAATTGGCAAACATACCACCTAAGATAACACTCCAATGCAATGCTGGGATCAGCGTTACATTGTTGGAGGTGCGGTCCTTCGAATGAGTCGTTAAACCGAGGTCCTATCTGCTAATTCAGGTGGAAGTTAAAGATCCAATGGCACTATTCAAAAAGAGAGGGAGTTTCTCCTGGCCAACAATTCCCCCAAAATAAATGAAAAGGTCATTCACTTCATGGCTGTCTGTGTGCAAATTGCTCCTGCATTTATCTACAAAATACAATCACTACATGTTACAGTAAATCCTGTGAAGAATTTTGACACAACCACCCAACATGAATGGCGCTATATCAAAATCTTAGAATCATTGTTTATTAAGCATTAAGAAATATTATAGAGAAAATGAATATTTAACATGAGACAGGCAAATATAGCAACAGCAACCAACTTGCATTTATATAGCACCCTTCACGCAGGATAGCGTTTTGGAGGGCTTAACAATGGTGGAGTTTGAGCCACGGAGGGAGGGAGGGAGGGAGCAAGGTCTGTTATTAACAGCTCTATACCCTTTACTGCTGTTTATTAAAATGCTCAAACTTATCTGCAATTTGCAACATCTGTAGTGACAATTTAAACATCGGTAATTACTGTATTTGAAAACAAAACCTACCTGATATTCCAGTTACTCCTTGCGGTGGAGATAAAACCTAAGTCGAGAAGGGCAGGTTTAGGATTATGGCATTGTAGCTGGTAGATCAGTAAATGTTAGGGTGAGAAGTTTAGAGTCTGGGCTAGGATTTACATTTAACATTTGTCAGGAGGATCAAGTGCTTAATCCACTTTAACCCATGTTATCCACTTTGATCTTATTACATGCATAAGGATGAGCTATAGATGGTAATCCTTCAGAGCAAATGTGTTAAGTAGTGTGATTAAAATCAGGCTTGATTCAAGAGGTAAGCGTTTTATTCAGTCAATGGCAAGCCTAAGTTTTTCTGATTGATCATTGTCTTAAATTACATGCAGTCAAGTGAAATTGCTGAGATTTAATACATATTTTTAACACAATAAAGACCTGTTCCCTCTTATGATCTTACTGAATACATTCTCAATGTTGCCATGGAGCATAGCGAGAGCAACTTTGTAAAAAATTTGATAACTTTCAAGTGACACGGATCAAATATCTGAACATTATCGATGTTTCATCTGAATCATTCAGCATCAATGCACACGCTGGTGATAATTTACAAGAATGTACAACAAGGAAACAGGCCACTCGACCCAATCAGTCTGTGCTGGTGTTTATACTCCATATGAATCTTCACCCACTCCTTACTCCCTCCCATACCTTTCGATTCCCGTCTCGCTCACGTGAAGGTCTAGCTTCCTCTCGAGTACATCTACACAATCTGATTGAAGTCTAAACCGTGAAAGCCCATTGCTGAGGCAATGGAATACCCAACACTTGCAGCCCAACAACAAAAGGAAGAGGGCATAAGGGTTCAGAGATATGATTGGCAAATTTAGGGCAGAAACTGTAAAGGTGATGAGTTATAATACATAGCTAGGTTTCTTGAGCTTTAAAAGAAAACGTCTCAGAGGTGACCTTATGGAGGTCTGTAAGACGCTAAATGTGATAGAGAAATCCTTCAGAGATGTCAAGGTACAAGACTTGGGGCATGTTTTCAGAGTTATAGATGCACTGTTAGGTCAGGTTGAGTTGTACCTCTATACACAGAGAGCAATGGGTTACACAGAGGAGTCCTGGTGAAGGGAGGTTGATCTTTCTCTGTAACAACTACAGACACACAGAATGTCACAGCACAGAAACAGACCATTTGGCCCATCATGTCTGTTCTGGTGTCTTTCTCCACATGATCCACCTAGTCCAGTCCCATTCTTCCCCTCTCTCCCAGTCAGAGATTTTTCACTTGTGGCTATACAGGCCTGTGTACTGTAGCGCTGCAAGGATTATTGTTAATACTGTGACAGAATACAGTCAGTTTCAGAAAAAGGACACACTTGGATGGTACGCACGTCAAATCAGTTGGAGATAACATTTTCAATCTAAATAAAAACATAACAATGTGAACTGTGAGGAAGTATAGAGCATCAATTTTCTTTGTTTAAGAAGCAAAGATTTGGAAAAAAAATGTCTGTCACGTGCATCCAGAAACACAACGCCCTCAGCAAAACTGTCCAGCTTACAGGAAAAGTCTACAATTCATTTTACATTGTTGGAAACAGAGTAGCTAATCAGTACATTTTGGTCACTCAGTTAATATGAATAAATCTGAAGTTTGAGCAGTTTTATATATTACATTATCAATCGCAATTACCAATAATTACATACCTTAAATGCACATTTTTTTATTAACGTTAAAAAAGATGTATGAGATATACACCAATAAATGAAATGCCACACCATGAGGAATAATATTATCAAAATCTATATTAAAAAAGGATTATTTAGCTGTTCCGAGTTCACCCACATAGTGGGCTGCAGCCACAGGTTTAACAGATAAAGGCACCGTCCGGCAAAGTGGCTGTTTCTGGAGCTGATGTCACTGTAACGCATAGTTGAATTGGTTTGCAAACTTTTCGTGTTTCCTTTTGTCTATACGAGCTAAAGCTTCGGACACTCGTTTCACAGACAACCTGCAAAGAAAAACAAAAGAAAAAGGGTAAGGTAAAGATGCCCAATGATGTCTGCTTTGAGACTTGTGTAGTACTGCTGGTGCATTTCTATGTGTTACCATAGGGATATCAGTTGGCACAGCCATTGAGCCATAGAAATATACACCATAAAAACAAAGGCCAATTATACAATCATGTTCGTGCTAGCTCTTTTATAGAGCAATCCTTTCAGTACCATTAACATGCCATTTCTCCATACCTCATGGTTATTTGGATTTCAGTTCAGATTTAAGGTCGGGAGATGAGAACTTCAGATATCAATTTCAGAAGTCAACCCCTTGAATCAAAAGTCTTCCGAGCTGGGCAGAGGCTGAGAGGAGGTGTTTAGTCAGTAATTTTGTTCACTGTGATTCCCATATTAAATGACTGGTTGGCACAAGCCATTAGTCTGGGCCTGTTTAACTTCACCTCCTCTTCTGTTAGAACAGCAATATCCCAATTTTTCGGTTTTAAAATCTATTTTAGGTTTTTCATGGCAACGCAATAGTACAAGTAAAACAGTATTGCAATCAATTAATAGTGGCATCAATGGGAGTAATATGGCCCCAAAAAGGTGTCCAACTGCACTTTAAATTTAGAAATTCCTAAAGTATGAAATAGGAATTATCGGGATGTGCTGGATGCCGGTTGCCACCTCCCTTGTCACCAATCTGATTGTTGATCTACATAATAATCCTTGCATTTGATATAACGCCTCATCATATCATTAAGATGTCTCAAAGCTCTTTACAAGTTTTTACTGTGCAGTGTAATGACTGTTAAAAACCCACAACCTTCTGATTCAGAGGCAAGAGTGCTACCACCTCAGCCAGGCTGATACCTGAACCTCGGTCACACATTCAACTTCTATCTTGTCCCTTTCAAATAGCAGATTAAAGGAATTAATCTGAGTGTTTTGTTAAACTGGACTCCTAATGCGCGAGCTGACTTCATGGTATTGAGAATAATCCCCAGAAAGGAGGGGGGGGGGCGGCAGGGTGTGTGTGCACGCGTGTGTTGGATCCATCTCTGGTCACACAGAGATAAGTTCCCATTCAATAGTTTAGGAATTTCCAAATTCATATTGCATTTTAAGACTCCAGTATCTATCACATTCCAGGTGCAGGACAATGTAACTAAATGACGAGGAGTCACTGAAGTGTAGTTGTAAAATGAAAGGAGATGTCAGGAGTTTTCTTTGGTACAATTTTATTGCTGTTATGTCTTTGCATAAAACGTGCATGCAGCGATTTTCACTGATTACTTGACAGAACTCATCCACGCCCGTCTTTAGAAGTGTAAAAAAAACAATCAACGCCTGAAAGGTTTCATGCTTTTCATCATTGAACCAGTGTTTCATGTGCTGCCTTTAGTTTGATGGGATTCAAAAAGTGACACCAAATGCTTTCAACTGACTGCGAGCAAAACAAAACCACGTATTATCGTATACCTCTTTAGTTTAGGAATAATCACTTTGACTGCAATTGTACAGCGAATGTCCTCAAGGAAAACTTTGAATTAAATAAAAATTGAAACATCTTAAATATGAGTATCTGAACATTGATTGCCCCCACAGATTTTACGCACAAAATCAATAACAACAACTTGCATTTATATAGCACCCCTCACTCAGGATAGCGTCCCAGAGCCCTTTATAATGCCTGATCACGACGCCGAGGCGGGGGGGAGGTGACCGTAAGAATGCTCAAAGACGAGGGTCTTCAAGCACAACCTGAAAAGGCGGAAGGAAGGGGCAAGGCAGAGGGATAGAGGAAGAGTGTTCCAGAGTTTTGGGGCGTAGTGGCTGAAAGCGTGACCACTGATGGTGGAACTGAGGGCACGCGGGACATGCAGGAGGCCACAGCCAGTCGAGCAGAGTCAGCAGGCTGGGGTGTAAGCAAGTCGGAGAGGTAGGGAGGTGTCAGGCATGAAGGAATCTGAAAATGAGTGTGAGGATCTTGAAATTGATCCGTTTAATGATAGGGAGCCAGTGGAGAACTGTGGAGAACTGGTGTGATAGGGATATGGAGTTTAGTATGGGCGAGTATGCGGGATCAGTTGGATCTTGTGGATGGTGGAGCTGGGGAAACTGGCGCAGAGGGTATTTGAATAGGCGAGGCGGGAGGTGACAAACGCATGGACGAGTGTTTCGGTCGGAGGTGGGCCATGTGGTGGAGGTAGAGGAAGGCGGTCCTGGTCAGGGACTGGATGTGGGGAAGGAAGGACAGCTGTGGGTTGAGCTTGATGCCTAGATTGCGCATTGGTTTGGTGAGTCTGAGGGATAAAGCGGGGAGGTTGAGGATGTCAGAGCCGCAGGGAAGAAGGCATTGACGGGACCAAGGAGTATGGCTTGCCGATATTCAGTTGCAAAGCAGTGCTGAGGTTAGAATCATAGAATCTTAGAGTACAGGTGGAGGCCATTCAGTCCTGTGCCGGCTCTTTGAAAGAGCTACCCAATCAGTCCCACTCCCCGCTCGTTCCCCATTTCCTTGCAAATTTTTCCTGTTCAATTATATATCCAATACCTTTTTGAAAGTTGTTATTGAATCTGCTTCCACCACCCTTTCAGGCAGTGCATTCCAGACCATAACAACTCACTGGGTAAAACAAAATGTCTCCTCATCCCACCTCTGGTTCTTTTGCCAATTATTTTAAATCCATGTCCTCTGGTTTCCAACCCACCTGCCAGTGGATTCAGTTTCTCCCCATCTACTCTATCAAAACCTTCAGAATTTTGAACTCCTCTATTAAATCTCTCCTTAACCTTTTCTGATCTAGGGAGAACAATCCCAGCTTCTCTAGTCCCTCTCTTTAATTATAAAGTCCCTCGTCCCTGGTACCATTCTGGTAAAGGTTCTACACCATCATGAAACAGATCCCTAGACAAGCACAGTTTTCTCTGATCCACTAAACCAAAGTACGGAGATGGTGGGAGAAACCTGATTCACTATGATTGAAGCCACTTTACCATTTCCTGCGCAGAACATTCTTAAAAAAAGGGAAGAAACATAGATTTACAGAGAATGTACAGCACAGAAACAGGCCATTTAGCACAACTAATCTGTGACAGTATTTATACTCCACATGAGTCTCTACCCACTCCTCTTTCCCTCCTATACTCTTCTATTTCTCTCTCTCTCATCTGTGTATCCAGCTTCCTTTTGAATGCATCTACACTATTTGATTCAACTACTGCTTCAGGCAGCGAGTTCCACAGTCTCACTACCCTCTGCATGAAGTAGTTTTTCCTAAATTCTCTTTTATATCCCCTAATCACTATCTTATACTTGTACCCTTGGTTATTTATACTAACTTTATGAAACCCATTTCTAATTTTAAACACCTCTATTAGATCTATTAAACGTCTCTTTTCAGCAAAACAAAGGCTAAATCTATCCAGCCAAACCTGATAGTAGTAACCTGCCAGCCCTGGTATCATCCTACTGAACCTACTCTTTCCATCATTGCTATGTCCATCTAGTTTACTTGTAGAATGTACTTTATAAACTTTTTTCAAGCCAAAGTATTCTCCAGAAGCTCTGCCTGCAGCAACCATAGGCTGGATTGAATAAGATGCATTGCAGAAGGCAGCCAGTCACATTTATGTAGTGGGGGTATCTCCAATGGGAATTTCAATAGGATTAGAGTGAACGGTTATTCCCAGTCCTGGAGTTAATCTCTTTCAATATCAGACTCCAGCACGGTTGAAGCTGTAGATGGGTCAGAATATGTAGAAGAGGTCATAACCGTCAACATCTCAGCCTCTCTGACATACTGGTGCATTTGGTTTGCATCACTGAAGCTGGAGCTGAAACGTATCAATCTGTGCCACTCACGAGCATCTCCTGGGAACTCCCTCAGAAATGGCATCCACAGCAGCTGTTTCAGTTTTAATCTTTGACTTTCCAAGTTGGATTAAAAAAACACTTGCGTGACATTGCTTGCACAAATTGGCTGCTGCGTTTGCCTACAAATACAGTCACTACACTTTGCAGAAAACTATAATAATAATAATAATCCTTGCATTTGATATAGCGCTTTTCACGTCGGGAGGACGTCCCAAAGCGCTTCACAGAACACACTGTAAAGTGAATTGACTGTATATTTGTGGGCGAACGCGGCAGCCAATTGCGCACAGCAATGTCCCACAAACAGTCGTAGATTGAAAATGACCAATTTTATTATTGTTTTGTTTTGGAGGGACTATTATTAGGCTCTGTGTGGAGTAAGGAAACTTGCCAAAGGTTTCGCCCTCTGCCTGGAATTGAACTCAGGTCTCTCACTTGCAAAGCGAGTGCTCTAACCACTGAGCTACAGGACTCCAAACTATGTGAAGTGTTCTGAAAAGAACGGGGGAGAGAGGCGGGATGATCTGGAGGGAGAGGGGGGGATGATCTGGGGGGAGAGGGTGGTGAACCTGGGAGAGAGGGGGATGACCCTGGACTAATGGGAGTGATGGGGGGGGAGGAGAGAGAGAGAGAGAGAGAGAGAGGAGACAATGGTTTACTGTATGTATTGCACACTTATACAAAAGCTGGTTGCTGCCTTAATAGTAATACACTGGTCACTCAATCCACGACTGTTTGTGGGACACTGCTGTGCGCAATTGGCTGCCGTGTTTCACCCAGACAACACAGTGACTATACTTTACAGTATATTCTGTGAAGCTCTTTGAGACGTCTCAACGACGTGATAAAGCGCTATATCAAGAATTATTATTATTACGGAATGTGCACTCTCTCCCCAGAGAGATGCACCCTGTTTACCTAATCCCAGAGAGTATTTGGTGCTCATTGTCAACAGCCAAAGCTTGTAGAACACAGCGTGTGCGTTAGGATCTGCTGTAGTTTAACTAAAAATAATAGTAGTTCAAATTGCATAGTTTGCCGCTTACTAATACCATCTACCTTGGCTTGCTGGGTTTAACAGAAGGTGAGTGGGAAGAATCCCTACTCCCCCAACATGGGGCTTCAACCCACAACCAACTGACTCAGAGGCAAGAGGGTGCTAGGCTGATTATGCCTACGTGGGTAGGAAGTTTTTGCCCACAAAATACACAGTCATTACACTTTATAGTATATACTGTGAAGCACTTTGAGATTTCTTGAAGACGTGATAAGGCGCTATATCAAATGCAAGGATTATTATTATTATTATTATTCATGGTGCTTTTTCAAGAGATGTTTGCAAATGTCAGGAGTTTCCTTTGGTACAATTTTACTGCTGTTGTTATTTTGTATAAAATGTGCATGCAGCGATTTTCACCGATTACTTGACAGAATTCATCCATGCCCATCTTTAGAAGTACATAAAAAAAATCAACATCTGAAAGGTTTCATTCTTTTCATCACTGAACCAGTGCTTCATTTACTGCTTTTACTTGGATGGGATTAAAAAAAAGACACCAAATGCCTTCAATTGACTGCGAGCAAACAAAACCATGTAGTAGGCCTCTTTAGTTTAGGAATAATCACTTTGACTGCAATTGTACAGTAAATGCCCTCAAGGAAAAGCTTGAATTAAATAAAAATTGCAACATCTCGAATATGAGTGTCTGAACAATGATTGTCCCCACAGCAATTACACACAAAATCAATACTTAAAGCAATGTGATACCTCAAAAGTGCTTTCCATTAATAAAAACACACCAGGACACTATATGTTTAACAGTATTATTTTCTATCTCCACCACCTGTGAAATTAGGAAACAGCAGACATGAAGCCCAAATATCTAATATTTAAGAGGACTCTTTAGCACTAATTCAGTGGCCTTGATACGTCCTGGTGTGTCATGTTAAGTCTGGCATCAGCATTGCTGTGCAGTGTGGCAGTGTAAATGAATTGATATCCATTTCAATCCTATGAACCCATTCACTAAATTTTATTGACAAGAACAGCAGGATTTTATTACTTGTAAATTCAAGGTTCTTTCCTTGTGATAAAAGAGCCAGGAGGTTAATTAACCCTTTACATAACCTCCACACCAAGTTTCTTGAAAGAAAATCCTGTGTTGCATTGAACAGAGCAACCGGAGACCACACAACTTCATCGCCCTTAAAACCCCTCTCTCACTTTATAAAAAAAATTACGTTTTCAAGAATCATATAACGATTTCAGATTTTACCATCAGAAATCAAAGCAATGCATTTATGAATGATTGGTGCAAACTTTCCTTTTGTCTTAGGGAGCTTCACCTCAAACCGGGGTATGATATTGCAAATTGTGTAAACCATGTGTAAATATAGGTTTGCTATGCATTAACCATGTCTACAGAGAGAATCTACAGAGACCCTTAACTGTGTAATTAACAACTGATGAAAACAATTACGGAATCGCAATTTTATTCACTTATTTTCTCCCCTCGGCCTCAGTCACCCACTGTGATGTTTCCCAAGTGGCCACTCAGGTTTTCAAAGAATATTTGACCATGTGGGGGAGGGGTGTGTTAGTTGTGCTTCTGAATCTTGAGACTTTCTTGGTCTGTCTGCACTCTTTACTGGATATACCTGCTGGGCCATTGGAGGATGCACATCACCACTATTATTTAAACAGTCCTGGTATTTATAGCCCCTGTTGTAAAACAGTGATCTGAGGCTATGGAGGAGCTGAAACAAGCCGGCAGAGATGGAAATCCAGACCCAGTACAAGCGTGATGGGCTAACTGGTCTGCTTCTCTGCATTATTATTATAAAAATAATAATCGTTGCATATGATACAATGCATTACCACGTTGTTGAGTCTCAAAGCGCTTAACAGAATATACGGTAAAGTGGATTGACTGCATATTTTGTGGGCAAATGCGGCAGCCAATTGTGCACTGCAGGGTCCCACAAACAGTCGTGGAGTGAGTGACCAAATTATAATTTATTTATGAAGGGATTATTACCTCCAAGAAAGTGATCCGCCAATTGACTAACAACTATATAATATTAGATTATTATTATTATTATTATTATTATTAACCGGGTTCCTACTTATTGCTAGGTAAACAGAGGCTTGTGAAGTAAGGAAATTTGCCTAAGATTTCGCCTGGCCCAGGAATCAAACCTGGATCATCTTGCTTGCGAGGCGAGTGCTCTAACAAATCACTAAAGGACTCCATTCTATGATTCTATACATTGGAAATAAAAGCACTTCAGATATTTCGATACACACAGTGGAGAAAAAATAAGTGCTTACTTATTGAAGATGCGCTTCTCCAGCCTGGATCTCGATGTATTGCTCTGCTGCTTCAAGTCAGTGAGGTTTGGGTACTTTTTCTTCTTTCCTTTTCCCTTTTTCCCTTTTTTATAGAGTTTAGAGGATCCCAAATCGACACCTTTGGCAGCTTCAATCTCTCTCATCAGCTCTGGATCCCGCCAGTCTATAGGATGGTGAGAAACACCTATTACTCTCTCTGACATTGGGAATGAAAAGGGAGGGTTGAGCATGAATTCAGACTTCCCTTCAACCTTCCTGCATTAACATCCATACTTTTTCAATACTCCACCCAATTCATATTTTATCAATACACTCCTATCTTATTCGTTCACCTAAGAAATACACAGTAAAATCCTCTGAAGCGCTTTGAGATGTATCTCAAAGCGAAAGATGTTGTATCCAATGCAAGGTATAGTATTTTATTCATGACATGGAAGTGGAGACCTGTACCATAGTGGTTAGTGCTCTCGCCTTACAAGCAAGAGGACCCAGGTTGATTCCTGGGTGGGAGAAAACCTTAGGCAAGTTTCCTTACTCCATACTGGTCTGCTTACCTATGGAGTATGAACCCAGTTGTTAGTCGATTGGCGGATCACTTTCTGGGGGTAATAATCCTTCCACAAAAAAATTATCTGGTCGCTCAATCCATGACTGTTTGTGGGACATTGCTGTTCGCTATCGGTTACCGTGTTTCGCCCACAAAATACACGCGTCTCAATATATCAAATGCAAGGACTATTATATTATTATTATAAGTTATTAATACACCACTCGTACCTTATTAATAGTTTATTAATTCACTATCCTTAACCTATTCATACTTTATAAATACACCACAGTTTAGGTTCCTGCACAAGGCAGGGTGGAGAATTCAGTACCCTGTGTCTAACCCAAAACAATACCCAAACAGCGAAGACTCATTAAAAGTGGCGAAACTGTTCCAATTCCAAAATATATCACCTAACAAATGATGATTTACAAAACAAAACAAAATTTCTTTGTAAGAGGTGGTTGCGGAGATTTAGTGCAGTCATCGAAGAGTTAAAGCTAAATGTCTTGTATAAATGGAGCTGGGGATCGAGCGGGCACGATGGGAGGAGGAAGAGAGAGCAATTCTTTAAAGAAAGTTGATCCAAAAGATTTATTTAATCCTGAAAGAGATTAAATATAAAGTGACACAAGTCAAAAAATGAAACTATTAATCCGTGATTATGGTCAAAATAAAACCCAGTTAGAGATCAGCCCTTCCAATAATAACAAGGCGGTGCGGCTCAGAGTTCCATGAATGGGACACTTATATAAATACAACAAAAATACCGAGGCCCCAGTCAGGATGAAATGAGCATTTCAACAAAATGAAGGAGCAATTTAAAAGCCTTTGAAAAAAATCAATAGAGTGCCAAGGAAGAACAGTCTTTTAGAGCCTTGATGGACCTTAAAGCTCTTCATACAGTGTTACTGACTTTACTGGTGGTGAAAAAAAATTACACAGTTTGGGGGAGAAAAATCAATATTGTAGTTAGTAAAGAGATGCTATTTCACAACTGACTGGCCAGCGGCCTGCCTTCACACGGTTGTCCTTATACCTGTTTGTTAACAAGTCACTAAAGGCTGAAAAACCAGATAGTCTTGAGGACTGACACAAAAAATAGGCACTTAATTTGCTCCTATGTGTGAACCATTGGAAGGGATGAGAGCTGCAGATTAGCAGGTCACTGTGCTTTATCATCGATTCCTGGCATCCAGGCCACAGGCCTCATCGTCATTATGTGGACATCTGTGTAGGGTTAAGGTTTTATGTAAGCACTGTAAACTGGGGGGCGGTTGTGGGGGGGGGGTAGAGTCAAATGATTTAGACTGTAGGAAGCACCATTGTTCTGCTCACATTTCTGCTGTCATTCCCAAATAGGCTGTAATACTGTGGTGTCTATGTTCATTCACTGTGTCAAACAGTATTTGTGATTCAATCTATTTTAAAATGGAACACTGAACACTTCAAACTGCGGAATTCAGATTGAATTCAGGAATCAAAAAGGTACCTGAAGGTAGTAAAGGGGGTCATAGCCAGACATCAAGTCCCAGCATTTCTCATGGTCCTAACATCATGGTCTGAAAATTTAAGATTGTGCAGAGTTGTGGAAAATTTTTAAATTCAGTCTTAAATTGGAAAGCAGTTTTCTGTAGTTTCTAAAAACAAAAAGAACTTTGGAAAAACTAAGGCCAAGAGAATGAAGATTTTCGAGCTTCCAATTCCACTGAAGCTGCTGTTGGGATCGATGCTGCACCCAGAGGCTTCAGTGGATGGAAACTTTTTGTGCACCTGGACTGACGTCACCTCAATTACTGTGCTGACTTCCTCGGGGAAGTGCTTGTGACACTTGCATTTACACATTGCCTTTTCCCTGCACACATCGTTAGCAGTACCCTAAAGTGCACACCCTGCCCCCCCATCCCAGCCTTGCCTCTAGCCAACCTGTGTCTAATGCTCTTTGGAAATAGCCAAGCAAGATGCTTCCCTCCAGGGAGAGAGCACATATTCTATTCTAGACACAGGAATAATAATAATAATCCTTACATTCGATATAGCACCTTATCATGTCATCTAGACATCTCAAAACGTTTCATAGGATTTTACGGTGAAGTGTTATTTGTTTGTATTTTTAAGTGTTTATTTGTGTGTATTTGTAGGCGAACATACCAGCCAATTTGTGCACAGCATTGCCCCACAAATCGCCATAAAGTTTTAGCTATGGGACTGTTTACCAAGACACCGAGAAAAAACTCCCTTTGCTTTTCTAATAGCCATGGAATCTTTAACGTTCACTTGAACAGGCAGACGAGACCTCGGTTTAACCTCTCAGCCGAAGGACGGCACCTCCAATGATGCAGTGCTCCCTCCAGCACTTCACCAGAGTGTCAGCCTAGAGTGAGTTCAAAGTCACAATGGGGGCGAGGGCTTGAACCTATAACCTTCTGACTCAGAGGCGAGAGTGCTACCAACCAAGCCAGCCTGACATGCAGCATAAATATGTTGAACGTTGGAAATCCTTAAGCTTGGTGATGGGTTTCCATATGTGTTAGACTTCCATCTGACGCCCCAAAAAAGATAAAGTATTTCTTATTTTTTCTTAAATAACAAAGGAATAGAACTACATATCCATACCAGGTTGCTCTTCTTGCCTCTTCTGTTTTTCCTGTTCCAGTCTTACAATGTCTTCTGGATTAGTGGGATTTCCTTGTTCATCCCTTGGGATAATCTTTCCATGGAAAGGGCACTGTGCAATGAATAAAAACGATTAGAAATGCAATCTCTAAGAAATGTTCCCTGAACAGAAATCTCTCCAACTACATGCTGATCCTGTTTTAAGGCGCCCTGCTACAGGACAAGCCAATGTATAGTTAACGATTGAGGTGTGTACTGTATGATAACCTAGCAGTAAGTAGGAACCCGATTGTTAGTCGATTGATGGATCGCATTCCAGGGGTAATAATCCCTTGAAAAAAAATTTGGTCACTCAATCCACGACTGTTTGTGGGACACTGCTGCATTTTGCCCACAAAATAACAAAATACAGTCAATCCACTTTACAGTATATCCTGTGAAGTGCTTTGAGACGTCTCAATGACAAGGTGGAATGTCAAATACAAGGATTATTATTATTACTATTGTAATAGCGTGGTCTTACCGCCTCTGGTTGGACACTAGTAGTGCCTTACATTTATATACTCACGTAAATATAAATGCCTTCACACCCCAGCATCTCCCTAGCTCTGATCTTTTCACACCCACTCCTCTCAGAGAAATGTGCTGTCAAGTTTTATTTGCCTTGAGTTGCTAGCCGAGGCCCAAACACCACCAATCCGGAACCCATGAGACCTTGTTTCTTAAAGTGTAAGATGGCACATGATTGAGAAAAAGTCTTAAATTCAGTTGTAATTTGAAACTGGCTTTCCTGCAGTTGTTAAATGAAGCTTTTCACAGTTCTTAAACACCTAATGAACCAGCTGAGTGCAATAAAAATAAAGTCCATGAATCCGACAGCGAGCGTGGAATTTCTTGCGTAAACATCTCAACAGCAAATTCAGAAAAGCCAATTTTTGGATAAGGCCCTGGGCATGTCTAGAGGATTACTGGTGGATAACGGCTGTGGGCACACTTGGGCTTTGTTGCCACTGGAGGGGTGGGGGAACGGAATACTTAGTGCTGTAGCATAGTGGTTAGAGCACTAGCCTCGCAAGCAAGAGGATCCGGGTTCAAATCCCAGGTGAGTTTCCTTACTCCACACATCTGTTTACTTTGCAGTAAGTAGGTAAACAGATTTCCCACAAAATATAGTCAATTCACTTTACAGTATATTCTGTGAAGTGCCTTGAGATGTCTCAACAGAGTGATAAGGCGTTATATCAAAAGCAAGTATTATTATCATCATTATTCCTCTGCAGGTCTTGTAGGCCTGAGGGTCACTCTCAGTCACAGCTTCTCTGACAATCTCTACATGCCCTACTCTCTGTTCCATCTAGATGGCTCATCCTACCTTGTCTTGGCTCTCCCAAACGTGGCCTAATACTCTCTGCCATGAGGTAAGCAGGGTCTGTTTCTCTGGGGGAAGAGTATGCGCATTCAATTAGACATAAATAAATTTCCTTGTATGGGTGGAATATGTATGTGGAACTCTGTCTGGTTTGGATGTTCTTAAATATGGCAGTGCGTACATGTCAGGCTCACTACACACACGCACAAAAAAAACCTGCTGCAAGCTGTGCATCTGCGCTCCAAGACTCTCTCCACCACCACTGCGATATTTATGGGACACGATAGGTGCAAATTAAATGCCTCATTTGCCTACTAACAACATTAATTTCATTTCTAATTAATGGCATTCCGTAAAGCGTTTCAAGACATTTGTTTTACGTGAAAGAAACCTTACGAAATGGCAGTTGCTGATACACCCAGCAATGATTACCACACAACACTCTCTGTGCTGTTTACTCCGCTCCTGCTAGGGTGATGCTTTGAAATCTTCCTCTTTGTTCAGCTCGCTCACTCCAGCTTTGACCTCGCTTTTGATCGGCCGTGTGCAGCTTTCTTAGCTGTACAATGCCACAAGAGTTCCTATTTTATCAGCCTTTAACAAGGTCTCAATGGATTGAAAGGGCCTTTTTCTTCTGTTTACTAACTATTTTAACTTTTGTTACTGAGAAAGAGAGGTCACATATCCCGAAAACTCCATTCTGGCTACGAGTGGCCACATATTTATTAAAATTAGCGAAAGCAGTGTCGTTGGCGGCATCACTTGTGACACTCTAAATATCAAATATTAATTTAATTTTGTAGGTACTGAACCATAGCTTATGAAGGCTGTAAAAAATGCCTAATGCAGTCCTAATAATAATTTTTTAAAAATTATTTTTTATTTTCATGCATTTCTTAAAACCATTCAAAAGTTAACTATGTGTTCAGTTTCAGAAAATAGTGTGATTTCTGAGGGAACTCAGCCTCTCTGATGATTCACTTAAGAGTTTTGATTCAAATCTTTGTTGAGTTAGCAGATCTTGAGGAGAGGGGGACAGAGTCAGTATTAGGGTTAGGGAGTTATTATGGGATCAAATTCAAGATCCTCATCCTCACTTTCAACGCCATCCATGGCCTTGCCCCCTCCTACCTCTCTGACCTGCTGACTCCCTACCAACCTGCCCGCTCCCTCCGTTCATCGGGCTCTGGCCTGCTCCATGTCTCCCTCCTGACCCACCCTAATATCGGTGGCCGGGCTTTCAGCCTCTCTGCCCCCACACTCTGGAACTCCATCCCACGGTCCCTTCACCTCACTTCCTCCCTTGCCTCCTTCAAAGCTGGTTTCAAGACGCTTCTCTTCAATCGTGCCTTTGGTCGCCCACCCACCTCTCTGGCCTTTCCTCACCCCTGCAACAACAACAACAAAATTACATTTATAGATCGCCTTTCATGTCGGGAGGACGTCCTAAAGCGCTGATCATCCAAAAGCACTTCTACCCCACCCCTCCCCCATGCTTGGATCCCGACACCTGACTGTTGTTCAGCACCTCCCGACGTGAAAGGTGGTCTATAAATGTAATTTTGTTGTTAGGGTTCAATTCACTTCACTTTCCTGTTACAATGGGGAGTGGGGTGGAGGAGAAAAAAAACCTAGGCTTTCTAGGGCTAAACTGCTCAAAAAATTACAAATGTTTACTGATGCCAGAGAGCAGCAGATTTTTTGCACCAGCTGTAGCCTTCAAGAGAGGTGAGAAAAAACTGGAAACAGGGAAATAAATCTGCACAGGTTTTCAGGCAGAGCTGGAAGATCACATTTTGAGGCTTTGCAAGATGAAACATCTGCGCAATACTGACTTTAAGCTGACACAATTCTATTGTAGCAAGAGGCAGAACACACAGCAATTTCCACACATTATAAAAATAAATATGAGCAAGGTAGCGAGGGGTGCCAAATTTAGACACACTTATTACATGGTTTTGCAGTTCAGCATGACGAATATCCGAAAAATTAGTGCTTTCTACAGCAAGGAGAGTAAACAGATGAAGAAATTACGTGGCAGCATATATTGAGCAGAATGGCCATATTATCAAAAGCCATTTTTGCTAAAATGGTCTGACATTTGAAAAGAAAGTGAATCTTGTCTTATACAAAATTGCAGCAGAAATGACTGATTCTGACACCTTGAAAATGTTGTTCTTCCAGAGAATGGTATCACGGGGACTTCATTGAAATAACTATAATAAATACACTGCTGTGCGCAATTGGCTGCCACGTTTCACCCACAAAATATAGTCAATTTACTTTATAGTATATTTTGTGAAGCACTTTGAGACATCTCAAAGATGTGATAAGCGCTCTATCAATTGCAAGGATTATTATAATAAAGGACAGCATTCCTTTTCTTTGCTCATATGGTTACACCCCAGGAAATTATGCACAGAAAAAAAATGCAAAATTAAACTTTTTTTATACAATTTAAATGCAGTATTATTTTATTGTAGCTTCTTGAGAAAGATATGGAGGCCAATTTTCGTGAATTTTGTATTGATATGGCACATTTATTTCTATTTATGAAGCACATTATTGTATTTTTCTACGAAGCATACGTCCGGATTGCGCGGAGCACGACAGGAAGAGAGGCTGAGCGGGAGGCATGAGGCAGTTCGACCACATTATGCAACATTACGTGCCCACAAACTTATTATGCAAGAAATTACGTGGACATAATTCCCTGGATTGTATATGATGAGAGTAACAATGTAGGTTGGCAGGGTTACTTTTCACTTTCACAGCCCTTGTTGCTGGCGTTATCCACCCCAAATATTGTGGCAATGCCTTCAGCACTGACACCTTTCTCAAGTTACATCCACATGTTGTAACTACAATAAGTAAAATTGGACATTCGCTTCATGGTTATTTGTAGGACATCACTGTTTGCCGCAGTAACTACACTTTGCTGTAAAAACCTTTGAGGTGGTTTGAGACGTCTCGATGACATGATAAGGCAGGATATCAAATCCAAGGATTATATTTATTATTATTTTTCAACTTCCATACTGAAAAATATTAATTAGTTTGAAGAAAAGTAAATTTGTATACAAGATGACTCGCAGGCAATATCCCACTCACTGCTATGTTTGTGCAGTGACTATTACAAATGGAACACCTACAGATATTTATTAATCATGTAATAAAGATTGGTTCAATAACCATTAAATCCTTTTCATTGCTTGCTAATTCCACAGTTAAGGGCCCTCCCATTGTATGTGTACAGTTACACATGGTGCATAATAGATCCCCCTAAAAACATAAAGCTGTTATATTGGGAAAGATCATTCAACAACAACTTACATTTATATAGCGCCCCTCACGCAGGGCAGCATCCCAGAATGCTTTCAACCCATAGTATCATGTTGTAGGGCATAAACAATTTCCTTCTTTAAAATCATTGTCCTACTCCAATCCCACATCCCTCCAATCTTCATCCCATTCCCTGCCAATGCTCCAACAAGCAGCAGTTAACTTACTGGGTAGTGCAGTAGCTCATTCCATATATTAATGAAAAGTGTGATGAAGCTATTCCTTATGTTAGTTTATCTTGTGGCTTTCCTCAGTTTATATCTGTGTCTTTCTCTCCTAGAGTTGCACAAAATAACATTTACATCCACCTTATCAATTGCCTTTATTATTTTTTGTGATAAGAGTGGGTGGGTTTATCTTCCTTAGCCTCTCAGCTCTCAATGATCAAAAACCTGGAAGAGTCTTTATTGTCTTTCTCTGAATCTTTTTCACTGCCTCTAGTTTCCTTAGGTACGGCAATCACACATGGACAGAATAATCCAGGCGTGATCTCACTAATGCTACAGAAAGTGTCAGTAATGCTTTAGATTTATATTTTGTGGATTACTTATACACGCCAGCATTTCATTTTGTGAAAATTCAAGTATGTAATACCAACTGCATTACCCTTATCTGCCATGTCAGGTTAGCTGAGCACGACCTCCCCTTCCTGAATCCTTGCTGACTCTCCTTTAACAAGATATCCTTTTCCAGGTATTAATTCATTGGGCAAGAGGCTGAAATTCCACTGTTACCTACTTATGCTGTGTGAGTTTATGATATTGTTGTGAGCAAATTGGCTGACGCATTTGCCTACATGGTCACTAAACTTGAGTAAAATCCTGTGAAGCTCTTTGAGATGTCCTCCCGACGTGGAAGGGGCTATATCAAATGTAAGGATTCTTATTATTGTTATACAATTTAAATTTATATATCATCTTTTGCATTGGGTGACACCTCAGAGTGTATGAATTGATTATATTTTAATATTCATACGTATTCTCTGAGAGAAATTATGCCTTTCATGTGAAATACAGAGGCAATGGGGAGAAATTTGGGGCAAATAACAGGACTGGATCTTAAATCAATGTGTTATGAGGGGGCTAATTCCCCTTTGTACATACCGGTAACATTCTCACAAAATATGCCGTACAAGGGGAACTACAACAGAGTCAGCAGGAGGTTTGACTTCTGATAGTCATTCAATGATGAACCTTTGTGGCAAAATAGCCAGAGAATTCACTAAGGAGTCAATAATCATCATAAAATCCTTCCACTTTCTTTCCCTACCTTCAAAACTCTCCCTGACTATGCTTTTGAACATCATCTTTATTGCCCCTCAGCCCCCCTCTTCCCCCATTTCCTTCATCCTGCTCAGGATGCGTTGAAAAGCACTTTGAATCCTTAACTTACTTAAAAAATGCGATATAACTGCATGCTGTTGCTGTTATACGACCATAAAAATTTACAGCACAGAAGACCATTCAGCCCATCTTGTCCATGCTGACTCTTTGAAAGAGCAATTAATTCAGCCCCATTTACTGGCCCCTTTCCCCACCTCCTGCAAATTACTCCTCTTTAGATATCTAGGAAGGAGATACTGCTTGCGTGAAGGGCACAATATAAATACATGTTGTTGCTGTAGTACTTAGTTCTCATAAAAATTAATATGGATTCTGTCTCGAACACTACTTTTGATCTGTTTGTGTAAAAAAACATTTTAATGTGCTCTGCTCCAAAGTTAATTCTCTTAAATTAATGTCCTCCAGTCACTGACTCATCAACCATTTGGAAATAATTTCTCCCATTTGACGCTTTCAAAATCCATCATAATGTTTAGACCTCTATCAGGTCTCTCCTCAGCATTCTGTGTTCAAGTGAAAATAGGCACAGTTCCTCAAGCCTCTGGCATACTGCTCAGCCCTGTTATCATCCTAGTAAATCTCCTCTGCTCCCTCTCTATGGCTCCTTCCTAAAATGCTGTGACAAAAATGGACACAGTTCTCTAAGTAACTGTGGAGAGTGAAATCGTTCAGTATAGGGCAACAACAAATACTTGTATCCTATAGTGCCCTTCACGCAGAGTAGCTGTCTCGGACCTCAAGCATATACTATTTCTGCTTCCCATCAACGACTCACATATACAGCAATGCGATCTGTCATTCAGTGCATTTTGTTGTTTAAAAATCACTCATGAAAATTGATGGGACAGTAATCATACCAAGCATATTCCCAAAAGACTCTTACTGAAGGAGGTCTTGGTTTCAGATGTAGAAGATTATTCTGTGTTATAGTAATTGCAGATCTATTTAAAAGCTGATCTCTCCCAAATGTGTTACATGTTGCCATACAAATTACTGAATGCGACAGACACCTGGCCATATTTGCTATTTTAAATGATACTTTTCTACTTCAGCTAATACTGAAAGCCAAGTAGTTTCATATGTTAATATCATGATTGCAAAAGTTGATGCGAGAATGCATTCTTTCACAATGCTTTGTTCCTGTAGTGAAGTTCACCATCAGTTATAATATACTTTGGCCCTGTTATAAACACAGTTCATTATTGCGTGAATTTGCTTAAAATTACGATTGCACTGTTGACCCAGTTCTCTGTGCATTCACACAGCCAGACCATTTGTTTCCAATTCACTGGCTGGCTTTTCACACAAACCTTGCCCGTCAATGTCACTTCCTGATGTGCTGTGCATGTGTAAAGCGGGAAGTGATGTCACTAGCAACCTAACGACTCGGAAGTCGGTCATTTTAGGTTCAGCTCATAAAAAAAGGGCCATCTTTGAGGACATCAGGTCACCGTTTACATCAAGTCAAACAGGATGTAATATGGTGGTGACCGTAAGATCCAGAAGTTGGCCACTTTTTCTTTTAACGTAGGAACCAGAAGATGTGCACTTTGTACACACATACAGTCAAACCGTGCCTCACCAGGTTGGCATTTTGTGGATCCCAAACAAGGACAGATTGCATTTTTTGCTTTTAACAAAGTGCCCATTAACATCAAAAGTCTCAAAGGGCTTCACACTGGATTGCTGTCAAGTAAAGACTATGTTTGCACACAACAGATGTGAGTTAATAGTACATTTGTCAGGGTTTCATACTTTGCAGTCTTAAATCTAATACAAACATGTCTGCATCCATTAGAATAATTACTTTGGTAATTTTTCTTCAAGTAAGTTTATATTTTAAGATTCATCTTTAATTCACTGAGATGAGCGCAACAGTTGTGAATAGTCAGAAGTCTCATCAAAATCTAATGTGTTTGCTTTATCAGATGTAATAATGTATAATAATCCTTGAATTTGATATAGCGCCTTATCAGGTCTTTGAGACATTTCAAAGAGCTTCACAGAATATACTGTAAAGTGAATTGACTGTATAGTTTGTGGGCAAAATACAGCAGCCAATTGTGCACAGCAGTGTCCCACAAACAGTCGTGGATTGAGTGACCAAATTATTATTATTATTTATTAGTTTATTTTTTTGAAGCCATTACCATCTCTGAAAAAGCCAATCGACTAGCAACCGGGTTCCTATTTACTGCTATGTAAACAAGTTTGTGGATTAAGGAAACTTACCTAACTTTATAAAACTTGCCATTTTTTTGGGTGGGGGGGGATTATTACCCCCAGAATGCAATCTGCCAATCAACTAACAACCAGATTCCTACTTACTGCTGGGTAAACAGACTTGAGGAGTAAGGAAACCTGCCACATGTTTTGCCCCGCCAAGAATCGAACCCAGGTCCTCTTGCTTCCAAGGTAAGTGTACCTGTTGCAAATTTTTTAAAAAAACATAGCTTACTGCTACTGGTGATCTTAAAACAACAGTTATAGACCTTGAGCCGATCCTGGCGTTGGCAAAGTGTTCCATCAGGCATTGGTGCTTGGCACTTGTGATTTACTGGCTGAAACTCTCCGGCAAAGGTGATGTATCTGGTCTTCAGCATGGCTGCCAACTCATTATTCTCACTCTCGCCCTCTTCCTCTTTGTAACTCCAAAAACTGTGCTGACAGTCCACTCTAGAAAACATTGAACAGAAGGATGAAAAGGCAGGAACCCTTCAGCTGAAACCATTTAAATGCACGGAGGGGAGATGTACACAGTGAATTTTATGCTTACATAACACAGTTGTTAGAAGAATACACTTTTTGTTTTAATTGGCACAAATTTGAACCAGCTGAGTGCTGAGCCAAAGTGCCAGGTGATGGTTTCTCACCACGTTTTCTTTATGCACTGACCTCGGCCAGAGCGTTGGACAAAACAGTTTCACAAGACCACGGGAGGTTTAGATGAGGAAGGCCTTCAGCTCATTTGATCTTCCAGAATACCCACCCTACTGTGTTTACAGTGCTCCTAGCACTTACCCTTCATGAAGGGCACTATACACAACAACATTTATATAGCACCCTTTACGCGGATTAGTATCCCGAAGCGCTTCTGCGTGTGTGTGTGTTTATACATACATATATATAAAATATATACACACACAAGTTATTGTTGTTTTCCCCATCACACGATCAAGCTGTTTTTTCAAATGAGCCCAGACTCCTGGCCTCAACTACCCTTCCCGGCAACCTGTTCCAGTTGTTAATTACCCCTCTGGGTGAAGATATACTTCTTGGTGTCCATCCTGAAATTACCATTTGCAACCCTAAATCGTTGTCCTCTAAGGATAACTTCTAACTGGAAAACAATCTGTACCATGGGTGGAACATCTCAGCATGAGAATTGTAGAGGTACATTTGCAGAGCAAAAAGTCATGGGTGTAGGTCATTTGTCTGATCATTTAAGTCACAGAAAGTTCTACTTTACAAGGGGCCCAAAGGAGGAAATAGAAACAACAGAGGGAAATAAATAGAATAATTATCCAATAATAATAAAACCCCTTAATATGCCTAATGTAATTCTAAATTTAAGAAGATATTTATTCTAATGTGCACTGAAACGGTGGATGTGCATGTAGGAAGAATGTTTCACTGTCTGCAAAAGCAGGGCTTTTCCTGTCTCAAGCAAAGGATAGAATGCCCTCTTGTGGCTGAACGGTGACATCCACTGTCTATTGGAAAGGTTCTGATATCGTCCTGGATCATATCATTTAAACCAAACATAAAGTTGAGTACAGTAAAAATATAAAATGAAAAGGTGATAAGAAGAGATTGGGAAACTCATTTAAAGCAATGGGAAGCAAAGACATAGAAGCTTAATTGTACACTGTACATTTGGCACTATGAAGTGAACCGCAAAGTTCTGGAGTGCCAGCGTCACATTGTGGGAATATTGTTTGATGCCCAGAATATGTCTCCAAGCTTAGCAATGCTGCTTTCAAGTGCTTAGATGACCAAGCATTTTCTGATTGGCAAACACATGTGCACACTCACCTCTTAATACTCAATCGCCTTTTATAATAACAAATAATCCTTGCATTTGATATAGCGCCTTATAACATCTTCGAGACGTCTCAAAGCGCTTCACAGAATATACTCAAGTGAATTGACTGTTTATCGAAGAAACACACAGAAACACACCTCTTAGCACAGCACACAGTCAGCGTAAGCTCAGGAGCTGGTTGTTCAGTCATCCTCAGTTTCAAATGTCCCATGAAGGTCAGCAAAAATTTGCTGGAGAAAATAACTTGAAAAAGAGAGGTTGGTGTTCAAGAACAACAAAAATGGTGACAACTTTGTCCCATTGCACATTTTTGTCTTAATCAGGGCACTCTGGTGAAAAAGTAAAAACAAGATGCGCTCAATGCATGGCTACTGCCTGCAGCAAACAAAACAAATGGTGCAGTTTAGTGACTGTTTTCCTCAGGAACAGATACAAGTTTGAGCTGATAAGAGTCATCTCTGCTTCACAGAAGTATTAGCTACTTCTAGCTTACCACCATAACCTCCATGAAGCCCACCACCTACTCCCTGGACCCCATCCCCACTCCTCTCCTTAAATCCCAGTTCCACCTCCTTGCCCCACTGTAGAGTCCTGTAGCTCAATGGTGAGAGCACTCGCCTTGCAAGTGAGACCTGGGTTCAATTCCAGACAGGGGGAACCCTTGGGCAAGTTTCCTTACTCCACACGCCTAATAATAATCCCTTCAAAAAAAAAACAATAATAAATTGGTCATTTTCAATCCACGACTGTTTGTGGGACATTGCTGTGCGCAATTGGCTGCCGCGTTTCGCCCACAAATATACAGTCAATTCACTTTACAGCATATTCTGTGAAGCGCTTTGAGACGTCTAGAAGATGTGAAAAGCGCTATATCAAATGCAAGGATTATTATTATTATTATTACTTGCCGACATCATTAACCTCTCCCTGTCCTCTGGCACTGTTCCTTCCCCCTTCAAAACAGCCACTATCACCCCCACCTTGAAGAAACCTTCCCTTGATCCATCACAGCTATCCAGCTACCGGCCCATCTCAAATCTCCCCTTCCTATCCAAGGTCCTTGAGAGAGCCCTTGCCTCCCAGCTTCTCTCTTTCCTCTCCTCTCACTCCCTCCATGAACCCCTCCAATCGGGTTTCTGTGCTGCCCACAGCATGGAAACTGCTCTGGTCAAGGTCACAAATGACATCCTGACCATGTGTGACCAGGGCTCCCTCTGTCTCCTCGACCTCTCCGCCACCTTTGACACCGTGGACCACTCAATCCTCCTCCACCGCCTCTCTTCCCACCTCAACCTTCAAGGTTCTGTTCTTGACTGGTTCAGGTCCTAACTTTCACACCGCCTCCACTTCGTCATGGCAAATGGCTTCTCCTCCAGTCCGCGCACCGTCTTGGTGTTGCTCATGGGTCTGTCCTCGGTCCCCTCCTCTTCACCCGCTACATGCTCCCCCTTGATGACATCATCCGCAGACATGGGGTAAATTTCCACATGTACGCAGATGACACCCAACTCTATCTCTCTGCCTCCACCCTGACCTCCAGGACTATTGGCGTCCTGACCGACTGCCTGTACTGGACGAGAGACAACTTTCTCCAATTCAACGTCAGCAAAACCGAGGCCCTCCTGATTGACTCGCGCCAGGACCTCCGCACCTCAGGCGCTGGCAGCATCAGCCTCCATGGCTGCACACTCAACTTCACTAAGCCAGTCAGGAACCTGGGTGTCTTGTTTAACCCAAAACTGTCCTTTCTCCCCGACATCCGCACCATGACCGGCACTGCCTACCACCACCTCCGCAATATTGCCAGACTCCACCACTGCCTCACCCCTCAGGCTGCCGAAACCCTCACCCACGCATTTGTCACCTCAAGGCTCGATTACGGGAACTCCCTCATCGGCCTTCCCAACTCTTCCCTTCACAAGCTGCAGATCATCCAAAACTCTGCAGCTTGTGTACTCTCACACACCAGGCTCCGTGACCCCATCACTCCCACCCTCGCCCGACTCCACTGGCTCCCCATCCCCCAGAGGATTGAGTTCAAGATCCTCGTCCTCACCTTTAAGGCCATCCATAGCCTTGCCCCCTCCTACCTCTCTGACCTGCTGACTCCCTACCAACCTGCCCGCTCCCTCCGTTCAGCGGCCTCCAATCTGCTCCATGTCTCCCGCCCGACACGCCCTACCATCGGTGGCCGGGCTTTCAGCCTCTCTGCCCCCACACTCTGGAACTCCATCCCATGGTCCCTTCGCCTCGCTTCCTCCCTTGCCTCCTTCAAGGCCGGTCTCAAGACCCTTCTCTTCGACCGTGGCTTTGGTCTCCCTCCCATCTCTCTGCCTTCCCTCACCCCTACATCACCCATGCCCCATGCTCGGGCCCTGACACCTGACTGTTCTTGCTTTGGGACATTCTCTTGATGTGAAAGGCGTTCTATAAATGTAATTTTATTGTTGTTGTAGCTATAAGTGCTAATAATGTCCACGTTTGGACCACGTTGAAGACATTTCTCAACTTTCGCTAGCCCAATTTTCCTTTTGCCAACCACCGGTCCGATTTTACCCTCCTGGTAATATTTGTGCTCCTGGAAACACTGAGTTTATTACCCCTGCTAGGGCATAATCTGACAATATTGGAAGTAGCTACCACAGACACCTGGATGATTTTTTACCGATTTTTCTCTTCTGAAGAAGTACTCCCAACTAAAAACCTCTTTTTGGTCTATGGTCACCTCCACCTTTCCCCCCACTTGGTGTCTGACCTAGCCACTGTGCAGTTCTCCAAAACTATCTGAAGGGTGTCATAGAAATGCTGCTGATGTTGCCTCTGGTAAATTTACTCAGTTGACTGAATGGCCTTCCTCTGTGAAGCAAATGTGTAAACCTGGTTGATTTTCCCCTCCCAAATCCCAGGCATTGCCACCTGTAGTGCCCAGCTAACTAAATACAGGAATTCACCCCCACTATACTTTCAGTTGTGTATGTCCTAATCAAAAATCACATACAATTTTGAGTTGATGTTGGCTAATTTGGTAACCAGCTCTTTATCTCCAAGCCGTAAGCTTTGGAATCATCCTGATCGCTCTTCTCTGAACCCTTTGACACAGCGATGTCCTTTTCAAAACTGCACACAGTATTCTAAATGCGACCTGAATAACAATCTATACAAGGTCAGAATAACTTGCTTCAATCCATAATTAAATGTCTTTGCGATTTACCCCACTACTTAATTAGTCTAGATCATATTGACTCAAATCCCGCCAAAAAATGGCCAAAAATTACATACAAAATCCCCTTCCTTCCTTCCTTCCTTCCACATTAGCAAACATCCCATTGACATTATATTATATTTATAGCCATACTGATAGGACTAACTTATTCTGGACTGGATGCTCCTATCTGAAGCTTACCATTCTACGAATACAGTACTGTAGTATCTATCTCAATAATACTTTTCACTTTGCCACATTGCTTACTGTCAGCATCAATTTTGTAATTTTACAGCAAGTACCTTCCTTCATATACTTTAAGATCAGTGTGAACGTGGGGGGGCACAGTGGACCCAGTAGAACTCCAGGCTTTACCAAGCCAGAGCTTTTCTCACTTAGAATTCAAGTCATGCTTTATACAACAACCAACATAGTGCCGTTTATGTGAGGTAGCATCTTGGAGCAATTAAATTACCAATTTCTATTCCCAAACATAGGAACAGGAGGAGGCCATTCAGCCCTTTGAGCCTGTTCCGCTTTTTAATTAGATCATGGCGGTCTGTATCTCAACTAATCATTTCAATTAGAATTTCCCACTTTCTCCTCATATCCCTTAATACTCTGATCTACCAAAAATATAGGAACTATAGGAACAAACCATATATTCAACCCATCCAACTAACCGTATGAGCCTTAATTGTTTTTACAAAACATCACATGTGGAACTTTATCAAATGCCTTCTGAACCTCAATTAAATAATATTGACAAGTTAATGTTGGTCCATTCTTCACAGGGTCCCATAGTATCAGTATGTTTCATTAGCCATGTGCAATTAGCTGCCGGGTTTTACCTACAAAATATATAGTCAATTCAATTTACAGTATATTCTGTGAAGCACTTTTGAGACGTTTGAACGATGTGATAAAGCGCTTTATCAAATGCAAGGATTATTATTATTAAAAGTGAAGTCAACAGGTTGAACTAACTAAAGGAAGAAAATTCTCTGAAAGCTGTAAGGATTCAATGTGAAATCCATCGCAATCCAGTTCTATATTGGCAAAGTATGGCTGGTGCTACAATTAGAAAAATGACACCAGTGCACATTGGGCTGCTTATTTGAGGTTGGTATTAATACAATGATTGTACAGAGGAAACAGAGCTTTCCTTTACACCTGATTGTGTGAGAACTGTGCTGGATGCTGACAATGGGTTCACAAAATTGAAAACCGCTTATTTTCTACGACATTCTTCCTCTTGATGAGGACAAAGAAAGATTGATGAATCTTTCACCTTTTTGTCATAACTATTTGAAGTAACAAAGAGTCATGTTGTTAGATTGAGTCTCAATGACAATGCGGTGCGGTATTATATAGTTTGTGTGTAATTAACAGCAACTGAAGGCTCCTGTAATTCAATTTACCATTAATTGCCAATTTATAGGTCAATCGTGATTTGTGAATGGCTTTTGAATACTAATTCACTGCTTCGAAAAGTGGTAATTAGGAGAATTTTTTTTATCAGTCCTATTTCTCCAAACCTAATGTGCACATATGATATGCATCTGCATCTTAGGTCAGTCCCTTTACAGTAGTTGCTTCCATTACATACAGATCATGAAGGAGCTTTTACCTGTTAAAGATATTAGTATTCCACTTCATATGGTTTTATTGGGATGATTAGATATAATGCCTTGGAATGAGGACAATATCCTGCAAACGAAAGCTTGACAGTGTGCACGTGGGCATATTTGTCCAAACATGCCAAGGCAGTAGGGCAAGAGGACACAGGTTCAGTGTTGTGAAGGGCAATTTTAGGACTGAGAGGTGGAAGTATGTATTTACATAGAAGGCAATTAATAACAGGAATGAGTTATCAGGGAAAGTGGTTGAAACAAGAAAGCTGGACTAATTTACAATAACTTGATGCAATAATGCCACTTGCCCATCCTAACCATGTGTGCAGTGTTGGATATTCTAGAAGGATGAGATCAAATAGACCAAATGGCCTTATTCACCAATTCCTTTGTTGCAAAAACTAGTCATTAAGAGAATTCCAGCTTTGCCAGTACATCACTACAAACTTCATGATGTGAACTTGATTTTCGCCCACAAAACAGTCAATTCACTTTACAATATATTCTGTGAAGAGCTTTGCGAACCCTCGAAGATGTGATAAGGCGCTATATCAAATGCAAGGATTATTATTGTTGATTTTAATACCTAACTGATGCAAAAGTATTTAGAATTAAAAAAATGCTTAGAAACCTAATCAGTCTCATTACTTTCTGTGCTGTTTAATCAATAGGAACAAGCAGATAAAGTGAGTGGGCTGTTTCTAATTGCCATTTGCAAGTTATTTTTCTCCTAATTCACTTTAGGTTTTATCCTGTCCCACGCACCAAACACCAGGTGGAGGATAGACAGGTGACTTGCTCAAAATCCTCTGCACCATGCTGCTCTTTTGACAGGGTTAGCATGGGCAAGTGACAAGCTCAAGCATCAGATTTGCCTTTCTTTCTCTGACAAAGTACCTTGTGTGGTGGTGATTGGGTTCCAGGAGTGGGATGAGTCACTCTGAAAAGTGGGCTGGAGAGAGCAAACATGGCCATCTCCACTTATATCCTTATATTATACTCCCTTATCTCCACTCAGTCTCCTTCGGCCTTCTTGATATACAGAACTCACTCTGTCGGAAAATCACCGATGTAAACTTTGTACCCAACAGTGCACTAGTTCACCAACATGCTACAGAATCAGCACACACAATCATCTACTAAGAGTCCGCTTTGGAACAAAGATGGTTTTTAAAATATGAGTCAACAGGGAAAAATTATTTCCACTGGTCAGTGAGTCAGGGACTAGAGGTCATCAATTTAAGATAGTTAGCAAATGAGCAAATGGGAACGTTAGAGGTAATTTTTTAATGTGGAGAGTGGTAAGGATATGGAATGCCCCAAATGGAGCGGGGGCTGAGGCACAACCCATATTAGCTTTCAAAAGGGAACTGGATAAATACCTAAAATGCAGTCAGCTCGATGGGTATGGGAAAAGGATTCTCGCGAGGGAGCTGTCACAGACACGATGGATCTTCCTCTGTGCCGTAAATTTGTATGGGTTTAAACTACTGAGCAATAGGCCAACAAGTTCTGACCAACTCCTTGTTTTTTTTTTAAAAATGGCGCTCACTTTTATGAGCAAACCATCCTTATTGTCACCACAAATGGAATCATCCCATTTATGATCAGCGGGCGAAGATTTCACACTATGTTACTGGTCCTATGAAGATATCAACTTTAAAAGTGAACGTTATTCAATTGATTTTAGAAATTCACGTGACTGTAAAACATAGTGATTCATAAACAAAAAAACTGCAGCTTTTTCTTGCTTATTTTCACTGCTGACAGAGACAGACATGATTTCCTCCTTGTCGGGGTACAATCAGCATTCGCAATTCATTCCGAAATGTATCAGGAAAAGCAAAATAAATTACTTAAGAATCTGGCCAGCAGTAGACTGCTCTTTTCCCCAGTAATAAAGGTCTAATCCAAACGGTATCACCGGGGCTCTTTCCTTCTCTTCTTCCCTTTTCCTCTTATTACTGTCATGTTCCTCTGACAACCCAGGATCCACTGATGTGGACGGTTGTGCGTCTGCTTCCTCTGAGGTTCCAGGCATGCTGTCGGCAGATTATTNAAAAAATCAATAGAAGATAATGTGCTGCACAATCGCTGTTTTAGTTTCATTAACCTTTGCACTAACATTCACATTAACGCAGACCCACTATGACTAACACTGCCATTATACACATTACAACTTGCCAGTGAATTTGATGAAGTTTCCAGCAAGCAACTTACTCGAAGGATTATCGATAATTCTGGAGGTCAGTGTAAGAGGGAAAGAACACAAGATACGTGCTTAGGACACTTACAAGATGCACTATGGCAAATTATACTCGCTGTTTTTTGTGCCTCACTTATCTTAGGAAATTTAGCTGCAATAGTGACAAGCTATGGCTAAATACTGGGAAGATGCAGGAATATCTTATTTTCCATTTGAACATCATTTGCTTTTGGAAAACAGCATTACAGAATGAAATTAAAGCAAAGTACAAATCACTTCCTATGTACAATAAGCAAGAAGGAAATTGCGGAAGCACTGTAGCCCTCAAGTTGCAAGTATTCACATTGAATTAAATACTATAGGAAAAATAGGTTGTTAACTGATGTGGAGTTTGGGGATTAAAGACAAATAATGAAGATTGTGCTATCTTCATATTTCAAAAATGCACAAACCAGTAATCTGTTTAAAATGCATCCCATTTGGTTGCGTAAATCATGTAGTGTAAGAATTGATGCATAATTTATATCTCCATGTACACTTTTATGATCTCCAGATTGCGCCCTGTGACTCATGCATCCGTGCAAATCGATCATTTACCTGCTGACAGGAAAGTCGAGGGTTTGACCAACACACCAGATTTACAGCAGGCTCTTTTAACATACTTACCCTCTTCGAATTTAACCCCACGGCTCAGTTTTATTATCTGCAAACTATTTTGTCAGCTAACTAACCAGGTCAGGATGGAAACAGTATCAGCACATTTTCTCCTATTTTAGACGAGCCATTTGCTCAGGCTATTGTTTATCTGTCACACTGTTGTCCCTCAGTTTTGGAAGAAAACAAGATATTTTGAAGTGTTGTGAGAGTATTCTCAGCAATGAAGATCCAGGCAAATCCATATAGCTGTTTGGAGACATTTGAGTTCCAACTTCAAATGAAGAATATTCTTCAGAACAGGATATTTGAAAACAGTCACCAGAATTCCTTATAATCATCCAATGTCAACATTCTAATACCCAATGTCAAGGATTCTTGCTTGGTTATTCACTTTATTATTGTTTGTGGAACAAACACACAGCGACTACATTTATACAGTAAATTCTGGGAATTTACCCCGACAATGTAATGAGACTATATAAAATGCAAGGTTTATTATTCTCAGCACTGTGTTCTTAATGTGTACAGATTATCAATTGATGCTAATGCTCACAGGAGTTGCTGCATAATACAGGAATAAATAAATAGTTTAATTTTCTGCTTCCCTTAGTGCCACTTCACAACCAGTGAACCAGGAGCCTTATGTATCAGAATGTCAGCATATTAGCAAGACTAATTAGACTTTCTCAAATCTTAAAATCTCCCAGAGAAACAAAAACAATGAGATGGGTAATACAATGGGGTCTGTGCGTTTTAAATCTGAGATGAAGTACTGTATTTTATTTGAGCAATACAATAGGCCAAAGCATCTCTAACACATAGAGGGTTTTCTCCATTGAAAACATACACATCACTCAGCCTTGCAAGGGTTAGGGTTAGGCTTTGCCTGCGATCTGAAGTCTCAGAAAGACAAACTTTCGTCATTCTATGTCCTGTAGAAGAAAATGCTGCTCAAGTCTGCCACTTCTGATGGGCGCTGAACATCTCATGGCACTATTCAAAACAAGAAGGCAGTTTCTTCTGGTGTCCTGGGCACTTCCTGGGTGTTTGTGGGATATTGCTATGTGCAAATAGGCTGCCATGTTCACCTACAAAATACATTTTACAGTAATTCCTGTGAGTGCTTTGAGATGTCTCAATGATGTGATACGGCACTAGATCAAATAGAAGGATTTTTTTCAATACCGATAGAGCTTTTCCCAGTGATCGCACAATGTTGACGCAACTGAACAGCTTTTTAGATGCCAATGAGCAACTTCTGGACTGTTGGTTTGTAGGCAAGTGTGGCAGCTAATGGAACATCCCACACCAGCAATGATGAATGACCTACTTATGAGCATTCCTTCTGGTGAAATTAGATGAGGGATAAATGTTGGTCAGGATATTAGGAGAACTTCCTGCTCTTCTTCAAAATAGTGCAGTGGGATCTTTACCTGATCCACAAATCACCAGATTTGTAGCATTAGCCCAATGAAACAGATAAAACTTTGCAAGACTGAACAAGCATTGTGCATGATCCAATTGAAGCTAGCAGATATTGTCAATCCTCTTGTACAGACATTCATTCATTACAAGAAAGAATTTACTGATAGTACTTTACAGTCTCTTAACCTGAGACCTGCTAGATTCACTTCTTGTTGCATTCATTATGATGCATCATTACAAGCTCTTACATTGATCAGTGTCAAGACCAACAAACTAATGAGAAGTCCCATGAGTTTGATCAGATTACACACAAGACAGTGATCTATACAAACTTTTCTTCAATCAGTTGTATGGGAAACATAGCATGAAGGCTCTCCACTACTAGTAAAACTGTGGTGAAATAGTGTTTCTTAGTGTTTCTCCCTCATTCAAGGGTAACGCCTTACAAGCAAGGCCATTAAGACTAGTCAACAAGAGACAATCTTAGATAGATGACTTCTCCGTTTGGGGAGAGTTTCCTGTTAAATGATCCAAAACGTCCCAACTAATTCATAAAGACCAAATACTTTCAGCTGGATTGTTTCGAGGTGCTCGGTCACTGTAACCACTGCACAAATACTTCATCCACATCCATTTCCTTCTTCCTTCAGATAAGATGTTAAAGTGAGGCCCTGTTTGTCTGTTCAGGAGGATGTAACAGATCCCATGATACTATTGAAAAAGAGAAGGCAGTTTGTTCCAGTGTCCTGGCCGCCAATGCTTCAGTTAGAATTCATCATTCACTTCATAGATATTTGTAGAACATGGTGTGTGAAAATTGGCTGCCGTGTTTGCCTACAAAAACATAGTCGCTACACTTTAGCGAAAACTGACGCACTTTAAGATATTTGTATAAGGTGTTCTATCAAAGGCAAGGATTGTTATTTTATTATTTTTACAATGCTTTCTTCAATGTGCTACTATATCAGGAAATTCCCTCAGATTTACCGAGAAAGAGTCTACTTTGCAATAGAGCAAGGGACAGTAATGATCTTTGCATTGACCAACACACAAAATACCTCCACTATTTTCTAACTATTGAAGAGTGCATGGATCTTTAATGCCTTGTTTACACTGCACTTTCAAGGAGAATAAATCAGGTAATTGCACAATACAAAGTCAGATTTTAATTTCATGATCCATGAGCAAACGTGTTGTAGCTTATTGAATCTGGTCAGAACCATCTTAAATATTAACTTCAGTCTCAGTTGATCACTGGTCTTCATATCCCAGGACAAAATTCTCAGATAATCCCAGAATTATCAGTGTCCTGGGACATCCTCCCGATGGGAAAAGTGTTATACAAATGTAATTTGTTGTTGTTGTTCAAGAAGAGCATCAAACTCAACTGTTCTCAAGTATTAAACATTGCAAGTCCCACAATCAATTGCTCTTAGCCAGTTAAAATATCTTACTCCTAACTGACTTACTCCTCTCCAAATCGCGGTGTCACCTGTGGGTGTGGTCGTTGCCAAAAGAGTACCCATGTTTAAAGAGTGTTCTCCGGGCAATCCCGTGCACATCATGCAGATTCATAAGGCTAAATAATAACAAATGTGTAGTTGTAGACAAAGATGTCAGCCAATTTGCTCACATCGTTGTCCTAGAAACAGTCTTCAAGACAATGACCAATTTTATTTGGGGGATTTTGGCCAGTACATGGGAAAAACTCCCTTCTGTTTTCAAATAGTGTCGTGGGATCTTTAAAGTCCCCGTGAACAGGCGGCGGGACCTCGGTTTAAAATCTCATATGAAGATCTGCACCTCTACCAATACAGTGCTTCCTCAATATTTTGAGCTCCAAGTCCCCTAACGTAATAATAATATAAATTAGAATATAAATAATGATCCTTGCACTTCGTATAGCGCCTTATGTCGGAAAGACGTCTCAAAGTGCTTTACAGAATTACTGTGAAATGGAGTGATTATGTATTTGTGGGGCTCCAAACCTTATGCCTCAGATGCAAGAGTACAACCAACTGAGCCAGGCTGACACCTCATTTCAGCTCGTAGCCAAGTATACAATAGAACCAAAGTCTCGAGACTCTGTGGAATATAGTTTGACTGACTGGTTTACAGGCACACTTGCCGGTGATCATGCAGTGGTGACAACCACTAACCTTATTAGGAATCACTTTGCAGCTTTTTAAAGACAGAGCAGTCTTTATTGATATCTCACTAGGTGCACTGACATCTCATTTATCCTACTGAAGTAAGAGGAGAGACTCTCACCTATAAAAAAAATTGGCTGCTTTCAGAGGCTATTCAGAAACTATTAATAGGTGATTAGAAGAGTTTTCTACAAGATAAAGCGACACTGAGTCACCTTAGATTTTTGGCACACGTTGCAGAAGAGAAACAAAATGTAAGTAACAGTTTATACGGCAAATGAATCAGTTTGTTCTCAACAGGAATCTGGTGGCCCAACAATGAATGAGACAAGAGGGAACTGTACAAATAGCAATAATAATTTGCATTTATATAGCTACCTTCTCGCAGGATAGTATCTGAGCACTGTATAACGCACTTAATGTTAAAACACAAATTGGTCCTAGTGGAGATTGATATATCAATCATACCAAATTGCCAAATAATCATAGATATGTAAGATGAGGTCCCTCCTGCTACCTTTGTGATGCCTACATGCAATACCCATCCCCAGTCTAACTGTTTAGCTGTCTTAAAGCATAACAATAATAAAAATAATAATAGTTGCATTTGTTCCATTGCCTTATCACATCGTTGAGACGTCTCAAAGTGCTTCACAGAATCCATTGCAAAGTGGCTTGACTATATTTTGTGGGCCAAAACATAGCAACTAATTGTGCACAGCAGTGTTCCACAAGCAGTTGTGATCAATTTTTTTTAAGGGTTTATTATCCATCAATTGACTGACAACTAAGTTCCTACTTATTGCTAGGTATTGCTAGAGTCCTGTAGCTCAGTGGTTAGAGCACTCGCTTTGCAAGTGAGAGACCTGAGTTCAATTCCAGGCAGCGCGAAACCTTGGGCAAGTTTCCTTACTCCACACAGAGCCTAATAATAATCCCTCCAAAAACCAAAAACAATAATAAATTGGTCATTTTCAATCCACGATTGTTTGTGGGACATTGCTGTGCGTAATTGGCTGCCGCGTTCGCCCACAAATATAAGTCAATTCACTTTACAGTGTGTTCTGTGAAGCGCTTTGGGACGTCCTCCCGACGTGAAAAGCGCTATATCAAATGCAAGGATTATTATTATTAAACAGAGGCGTGTGGAGTAAGGAAACTTGCCTAAGGTTTCACCCTGCCCGGGAATCAAACCCGGATCCTCTTGCTTCTGAGGCGAGCACGTTAATCACTACGCTACGGAACTTCACTGTAATAATTAAAGCACTCTGGGACGCTACCCTGGGTGAGGGGCGCTATATAGATGCAAGCAGTTGTTGTTATTAGTAACATTCAGAATTAGACCGCAATGCAGAATTAAATGGCAAAGCAAAAGAGATAGACTTCTGTTTTTTTTGAAAGAGAGGAGCAGCCTTACTTCAGAAATATATAAAATTAAACACAATGCCCCCTCTCCACCACCGCCACAAACATACCTGTACATCTCATCCAGCTTCTTCTTTAAGATCTTTAATGTTGCCGCTGCACATGTTGGATCTAAGTCCTCATCTTTCCTTCTTGGTGGACGTGGCTGTGAACACGATGATTGAGGCCTTGCAGATGCTTTGGCTGCCCTGGCTGTCTGTTCATCCTTTTGTACCCAAGGCTCCAGTCCTGTATAAGAGTTACAGAAATGTTTTTAAATACTGATCGGGCAAAAGTCAAACTATACCTAAATACCACAGTAACAAGCATTCATTGAATTGTATTTACTAGATTTCAAAACCTGGCTAATATTATTAAATAGCTTCCATTTTATTTCAATCATCTTTGTTTGACTTCATTTTGGTAATATACTCTCATGGCCAATTTTTTCATTATCTGATACTAAATTCCAAATCAATGCACTGGAGCGATAAGTGATTGAATTTCAAGACTGTGCAAATTTGGTCATTCACTCTGACTGTTTGCGGGACATTGTTGTGCGCAATTGGCCACTGCACTTCACCCACAAAATATAGTGAATCCACTTTGCAACACATTCTCTAAAGCATTTTGAGACTACTCAACGACATGATAAGGCACTATATCAATTGCAAGGTTTATGTCGCCCACAAAATATAGTCACTACACTTACACTATATTCTGTGATGTGCTTTGAGACATCTCTAAGACATGATAAGGTGCTATATCAAATGCAAGGATTATTATCATGAAGACCATCGTCTCAAACTTAAAACCAATTTGGTAACCTGACTTTCCTCTGGTTTTATGTTTAAGAACCAGAAGAGGCAATTTAGCCCATCAAGCTTTAAGATCATTCTTTTTAAAGAACGTTTTTTCAAACTAAGCCTGAATTTAATAACTTTCCAAAATTGTGCATGATTGTAAGTTTGAAGTCAAATGGTCCTAGACAATAAAGAATTTCAGGTCTCAGGACATAACCTCATCACCCCTCAGTTGAATAAAATTAAAATTGGTCATCCACTTCATGGCTTTTTCTGGGACATTGTAATGCGCAAATTGACTGCTGCGTTCGCCAACACATACAGTCACTAAACTTATATCATATGAAGTGTTTTGAGACATCCTCCTTAAATTCAGGCAATCTTAAATTTAAAGACCAGTCTTTAATGCAAGGGTTAATATCAAAAGTCAGTTACAATGACACTTACTGGCTTGGCTCACATGTGAAGAATGTCCACTTATATGATATACCAGTGTCACTGTTGCCTGTAGATCTGTACCCAACAGATAAATCAACACCTCGGGATGGGGTGAGGGGGGAGGGGGGTAATTGAAAGGGGGGGGGGGCATTAAATAAATTACCTGGCTTAGAACTGGGTTAGATCAAAAAAATGTCAGGCAATTCTACAGCAGCAAAGGGTTGTTAATCACAATCATCCCTACGAGTGGACACAAAGCAAACTGCTATTAACAGATCTAACGGAATAAAGTACCCAAGATTTTTTTAAATAAAAAGTGTAAACTCTTTTCCGCTTTTCACTAACAGAATGAGTTTGATCCGCATTGTTGCAATGGTGACCTTCGTCCAAATAAAAAAAACTATTAAATACCAAAATCTTTCAGGAAATTGCTCAAAGTGTCATCTATTTGCCTGAAGCAATAACACAGATAGAGTTAAAAAGATTAATCAATAGTAGGAAATGGCAAGGCTGGGCCTGTGGCTGAAAGCTAGGCCATTGAATGCTGACATTATTGATTTTAGCAAGTTCACCAGGCCTTGTAATTAAAATGTAAATTTGAGAAAGAGATTATGTCCTGACAGAAATCTTGGGATTAGGGGGAAGATAAAAGGCCTCAGTGGTGCAGAGAGAGCGAGGGAAGATTTCCTCAGCTGTGTGGCTTTACCCGTACTTTAACAACATTGGATCTGCTCTGAAGTTTAATTGGTAAATTGTTGAGTCTGATAATAGAAACTGCTGATAGAAGTAGGAACCATGGAAAGCTCCAGCAGTCTTGAATGCTTTTTAACTCTTAACCCTTAACTCATAGAGAGTTAAGCTTGTTCATCACAAAGAAAAGTACTTGGAGCAAAGTTTCTAATTTGTTGGGTGCAAAGGGTCGCCAGTTGGATTTTGAAGGATTTAGGACAAATAAGGTTTCAACATCAAATGGCTTCAAACAATCATTTTAATTTTTAAGCACCTTTTGTTCAATACCTGCTACCAGCCTTAGCTTTTTAATATCAGTGCATCCATGAAACAGGAAGAAAATTGAGTAAAGCCCTGTAGAGAGCAATATCTTAACTTTGCAACTGGAACTTTATAAAGTTATTTATATGGTTTTTTTTTAATTCTAAAGAATAGGTATTCTATAAAATGTGTTTGTTATTTATGTTAATTGAGAGCTAAAATTACATCTTACCCTGAGGCATCAAAATGAGATTTTGTTGACATTACAATAATACTTTTTATTTTACAAAATAATAATCGTTACATTTAATCACGTCATTGAAGCTTCTCAAAGCGCTTCACAGAATATATTGTAAAGTGTATGTTAAGGGTGAAACACAAAAAAAAACTTTTTCAAATAATAATAATTTGTGACAGTCATTTTCAATAGTGTTATTCTGGAAATGTGACAATTTGTGTTCTAGGATAAAGGCCAGTTGGTATAAAGACTGTTTCTGTTAACTTTCCCTGTATTACCAGATTAGCATCATCACTGCTGCATAGACAGAAAAAACAGAAAAACAATTATATGGATGGTATTTATGCAGAATTAATGACCTTGCATTTTTATAGTGCTGTATCATGTTGAAATGTCTTACGGTAATTATTGCAAAGTGTAGTGACTGTGGATCTGCAGGCTAACGTGGCAGTCAATTTGCGCACAGCAGCAGCCACAATGTAATTGATTAGTTTTGTCTGGGGCCTGTTGACTCGGACACTGGGAGAAACTCTACTCTTTTTGAATAGTGCCACGGGAACTTTAACATCCGCCTGAACAGATAGACAGAACCACAGATGTTTTATCTGAAGGCCTGCCTAGACAATGAGTTCTAATTCCCAACGGGCTTGAACCCACAAGCTTCTGACTCAGTTCCAAGAGTGCTACCAACTGAGACAGATGAGAGAAGAGCCAGGTCTTTCTGCTATGAGCCAAGAGAAAGAAAACAGGAGCTTGGTTCCTCTCTAGGATAAAAGCTAATATTGAGGTTTTGACTTTATTTAATTGAAAAAAGCAAAATATTATTCCACTTTAACTTACATTTAATAATAATCCTTGCATTTGTTATAGCGCTTTTCACGTCGGGAGGACGTCCCAAAGCGCTTCACAGAATATACTGTAAAGTGAATTGACTGTATATTTGTGGGCGAACGCGGCAGCCAATTGCGCACAGCAATGTCCCACAAACAGTCATAGATTGAAAATGACCAATTTATTATTGTTTTTGGAGGGATTATTATTAGGCTCTGTGTGGAGTAAGGAAACTTGCCCAAGGTTTCGCCCTCTGCCTGGAATTGAACTCAGGTCTCTCACTTGCAAAGCGAGTGCTCTAACCACTGAGCTACAGGACTCCGATTTATCAAAGCTCAAATAATATTAAAACAAACTTTGTTTTAAAAAGATACCTAGGACATTCTAACTATTATGAACTTTGGTTATCCTATGATGAGAGATTTCAAAATTATTGCGGTGGCAAATTAACATTCACAAAAATAGGCACAGGAAGCAATTGATTTAAAGCATCAACATTTTTTACAATAAACAGACTTGCATTTGATATAACATTTTATCAAGTTGAAAAGTCTCAAACTGCTTCACACATGGGGTTACTTTGAAGTGTATAATGATGGTTGTTATGTAGGCAAAACACAGTAGCTGAAGTTCATCCATAAATAGCAATGAAATGATTGATCAGTTACAGTAATTAAGGTGTCAGCCTCCGTGTCAGAAGATTGTGGGTTCAAGTCCCCCCGTCAGGACTTTGAATTCACATAGTGTAGGCTCATGCTCCAGCATCGGGCGGGCGGGGTGTGGTTGCATTGTTGAAAGTGCTGTCCTTCAGACAAGATGTTAAACTGAGGTCCTGTCTGTCTGTTCAGGTGGATTTTAAAGATCTCATGGCACTATTTATGAAGAGAAAGGAGTTTCTCCCCATGTCCTGGCCAACAGTAGCCCATCTAAAACTTATCATTCACTTCATGGCTGCTTGTCCAACACTGCTATGCATAAATTGGCTGTCACATGTGCCTACAAAATATATCCAACAACAACAAAATTACATTTGTCATTTTCACGTCGGGAGGACGTGCCACGCTGTCACAAGACCTTACAGTAATCCTGTAGGGTACTTCAAGAGGTGCTTCTGATGAAAAAGGGCCTCTATTAAATGCAAGACTTATTATTATTGTATAACCTTGGCTATGTGATTGAATTTGAATGAGAGTGGAATATTGGCCAGGAATCTGGAAGAGATAATTACTCTTCTTCGAAACATTACCAGGGGATTTTTAATATTCACCTGAACTACCAAAACAGGCTGATGTCTAAGTCTCACCTAAGGGGCAGTACTTCCACCAAAGCAAAACTTCCCGAGTAGGTGTCAGCCTACCTCAGCTGGCAGCACTCTTACCTGAGTAGGTTAAGAAGCGGGGACTCCGGGTAATTTTTAAGTACATCACACGAGCTTGAGGAAAACTATGAATGGGTCAAGAATGAGTTGGAGCGATGGTGTTTCGGAATTCTTGCTGGCTCCCAAGATAATTATAACAATAAGCTAATAATAATCCTTACATTTGATATTGTGCCTTTCTTGTCTCAGAAAACTTGACTACAGTGACTGTGTATTTCGTAGGTGAACAAAGTAGCACATCAGCGATGATCAATTTATATAGGGGTTCATTCAACAGGACACCAGGAGAAACTCCCTCTCTTTTCGAATAGGGCCATGGGATATTTAATGTCCAGCTAAACAGGCAGATGGACCTTGGTCCGAAAGGCAACACCTCCAACAATGCAACTTACCATCAGCACTGCATTGGAATGTCAATTTAGCGTACGTAAGCTCAAAGTCCCGATACAGGTCTTGAACCCACTGACTGACTCAGAGGCGAGAGTGCTTTCAACTTAGCTGGTTGACACACATCTTATCACATCAGCACATATTACAGTATTGAAAAAGGCCATTTGGCCACAACTAGTCCACATGAACTTCCAGCCCTCCTAAAAAGTCTCACAGCGCTTTACAGGATTTTACTGTGAAATGCAGTGACTGTATTTTATCAGACTGGAGTTGTTTGAGGTTATTCTATTTTACATTAAACAAATATGTTGCAATATTTCTTATATTGTGGAAGGGTAAAAAAAATTATGATTTCTGTTATATGAAAAACAGAAAAAAAATCAAAATCATGACTCAAAATGGTTACATTTCAGTCATTTAGTGTTTCTAAGAGTTCACATTCAGGATAATTTAATTTGAATTGACTCAACTTCTAATACTGCACTTCCAGTTACCACAGGGGACAGGGCTGTCCTGTATACATATAATGTATAAAAAGATCTGCTTACTGTTATTCCCAAAATCAAATCTGCCAAAATATGAATTTAAATTAAAAGCATGATTGCAAATTTGGCGAGGATAGGAGGTGAGATAGCTATTTTACATTGAACAAATACAATGACTCAGTTACCTTAGGATAGCCCTAATGTTACTCTATTCAGACTGCGGATAGAGGAAACGAACATTTACATTTGCTTATTTGTTCCCAAACACTGATGAACTGCACTTCTGTCCTATACAACCAATCCTTCCAGTTTCATATAAAAGGAGACAGGAGTCAATGCAGAATACACCCAGCAAGTTGACAGACAATTGCCACTTTCCCCCAAACAGAGAATAAGTCCACCACAACATAAAGGTGAGATAAAACAAAGAAAGTTTACAGGGTAGAAGGTAGCCATTCAGCCAACGGTGCTTGTGCTGGTGTTGTCTCACTGTGTGAGCCATCTATGCTAATCTCTTTGCCCCTTCCTTTTCTAATACCCTTTTTTGATTATTTCCTATCAAGTTTTTATCCAATTATCGAAAAGACCTTCAATCATCCAAAACAACTTCTGATGCGATCTTGTAAATGTGAAATATGCAGAGATGTCTGTATCTCAGGACACTGGGCTCATTTAAAAAATAGCTTCTTACTGTAATGAGAGGTCAATAGGGTGGAAAGGATGAGATAATATGGGCTGAAAGGTCTTCTTCAGCCAAACCTCTTCTGTGATGTTATATCCTTTTCAGTAAGCATGCACACGGAACACAGAATTGAAAGACGAGACTGACAGGAATTGCAATGCAAGTTCGATACAAGATTTTCAACAGATCATAGAGATTTGACTGGAGGAGCTTCCTGCGCATAGTGACCCAATGTGCAGGAACTGACATCAGAGGAGCCGTAGAAGTTGGCCATTTTTTTGGTGCAGCAAGCAACTAACACCAGTGGTGTGTGTACCACGTCCGCAGTAACCACAGTGACACAGCACTGTAAGTGAAGCACACTACATGGGGGCAGGATTGGCCTGTGCATACATATAAATGGGTTAGATGTAAGGTGTAGATTAGGTATAAACCAGATGTAAAAGAGGACAGGGATAGTAGAGCATTAAACCAACAAATTCAAGAAAAACAAACTCAGGGGTGGGTGGGGTGGGGGGGGAGAACGGGGGGAAACAGATTCACGACTGAAAAGATGAGAGCTGTTTGTCTACAACAAATGCATGTTCAAATAACAATGTGGTAACGTACTCAGTGGTCAGTGGGGTGGGGGGGATTAAGCATACAGCTGATCATCTTATTGCTTAATAAGGTAGGTTTATTTATTTTGCTCTGGCAGAGGGTGCTGAGCCAGCAGCTGTGCAAACTCACCGTACTCCTCCCGAAGGTGATCCGGTATGCGCGGCTCGTAACCTTCCTTTTCCGGGACTTCAACAAAATCATCGTCATCATCGTCCTCATCCTCATCGTTTGCTTTCATCTGTCGAAGCAAATCAAAAGGAAACCTGTCACTATCGCTGACCTGTGAAACATCCTAATTATACTCTTCTGAAATGACAGGAGCACTTAACTTTCTCAGTGAGTAAATGACAGCAATCAATCAAGTCTGAATAACAATGAGCTGCGGACCTGAAAATTATTTTTGTATAGAATCTACCCAGGAATTTATGAAAGGTGAAGCACAACCCAAGGTTTAGGGTATTATGGCTTTCAACTAGCACACTGCACATCAAGCACTAAACAGAATTTATGTGTTTTAATTTTCTGAAAGGAACATTAGAAGGGGTCTTGGTGCTACAATGCATAACATATAGAGCACCTTTTTTTTCTTTAAGACACAAAGGATTATTTCAACATACTGCAACATTTCACAGTTTCTCGCTACTCAAGGAAAAATCAGCCTCTGAAAATTTCAGGAATTTTCCTAAAGACTTGGTTTAAGTTTCCTCTAGTTATTGTAAAACTTGAAAAACGTGGTTGATACAGGCGACATTTAAAAACAAAATCTTTTAATGATAGATTTTCCTAATTAATTAATCATTTTATATTCAATTGCTTCATGGCTTCCAGAAATCCAGTCACTACTGCTTATCACACACACACTCATGCACCCCCACCTCCCATTCACCCCCCTCCCCTCCACCCATATACACACACACACATTTCAAGAATAACAAAGAAAGAAAATGTGTCAAGGAACACATTCTTTTCTCTAGTTTGCCCAAATTTAGCATTATTGGCCAGAAAATAATAAATAATAATTCTTGCATTCGATATAGCATCTAAATATCTCAAACCGCTTCAGGATTTAGTGTAAAGTATAGCGACTGCGTATATCTAGACACAATATTTCTATAACTCAAAATACAGAAAGTGTGCTTGCATTTTATTCCTGAAAAAGAGAAGCAGAAAAAAACAAATATGTGAATTTGGGGAGCGTCAATATATCCCAATGAGAAAAAAACACTGAAAATTTTGCATGCTAATTTGTGCACAAAGTCAGATAAAAGCGGCATTTTATCTCATTTGTGATTGAATGATATTCTAATATCAGTGTTATTAGTGGGGAAAAAGCACCAAAAAGTGCGACTGGGAAGGCGATCGGCTCTAAAATTATGGGTGAGAAGAGAAAGAAAAGAGAATTACTCATCATTGTTCTATCAGAGTCAATTGAGCTAAGGACTGAAGGCTTAAAAAAAATCTGCCTTCCTCCACATTTTTGTTTAGTTTACAATTTAATAGAATCATAAGATAAATTCTCCATGGTCTAATTAATTTGGGAGGCAATCTCAATTACTTCCCACCCAGGAAATCAGTTTTGTTCTGTCTTAAATAAGTGTCTGTTATACTCTTAAAAAATGATGTTGTAAGGCCCCCTTAGACAAGTGAACTCTAAACTTCATTTGTCATTCCGCAAGCTTGATGGCTATGCATTTAAAAACCCATTCTATCTTATAAACTAAAAATTAAATGTACTCAGCTGTGATAGTCGTCATTGCATCTGCTATTTATATGCTAATACCCTTTCTGGAAGGTCCTGCAAATTATTGCACTCCGGCAAGTCAGGTGAATCTGTCCCCAAGCCACTAACTGTACAATAAAAAAGTGCACAATATTTTAAAAGGTTATTGCAAAGATTTTTTAAACTAGAATGAATCAACATTGTTGTTCCAATCAAGTGTGATTTCAGCTTACGGTTCAATGTGATCGAGCGGTCGCTGATTGTCAAATCATTAGCCAACAACGAACAAAAAGTATGTGGATGCATCAGAACACACTGGGGACTGTGCTGACAAGGCAAACCTGATTGATAAAAGGCATCTTGGTGCACTAATATTCAGATAAGTTTAACAATTTTAATAATAATCCTTCAATAATATTTATAATAATAATAATCCACTACATCATTTGATACCTTTCGGTTCAGGAGGATGTCTCACGGTGTTTCACAGGATTTACTGTACAGTAGTGACTGGATTTTTGTGGGTGAGCACAGCAGCAAATTTGCACACGGCAATGTCCCACAAGAGGACAATGTAGTGAATGAGCAAATTTTATCTGTTATTATTTATTCAGCTTTTACTGTTTTGGATTAGTTTCACTGTATCCTTTGTTCTTACATTTTTGGGCATTTTGGGGCACTGTCTGCCTCTCTTTGCATATCAAGAATAAAACATTCAGAGATAAGATAAAACTGAGCTCAGGGTGTTTACAACAGTCTCCTTTGACCACCACTTTATCCTTATTCACAATACAATGCACATATACACGTCTTATTGATAACCAGTGTTAACAGCCCAAGATTTATTTTGACTGGAAGTTTTTATTTAAAATAAAGCTTTAAATTGATTTTCAAACGTTTTCAAAATGTTGAACATGCTGTTGTCAATGGAAAGCAAAAATCAGTACTGGAGCAACCAGTGGACATTCTGAAATCAGTCTACTTTCGTACAAAGATCACATTTTTATGGTGGCTTATGACATCGAAAATACTTCAAAGGTAATTACTGTCAAGTGTTGTGGCTATTTCTGTAGACAATAATTATAATAATCCTTGCATAATTATAATAGCACCTTATCAAATTCTGTGCTGTAAATTTTAAATATTATGAATATAACATTTTGGAAATCCACTGGGATAGTGTGAAATTAGTTATAGTTTAGAAAAGTCGATGTGGACGATCTCCAATTGAACTCATGGCTAAGAGGTCAGAAATTCCATCCCATCTTAATCATTTGATCTTAAAATTTAGGATGGTGCAGAATCGTGGAAAATTCTTAAATAGTCTTAATTTAGAATCTTGAAAATCTAGCTTCCAAATTAAGACTGAATTTAAGACCTTCTTGGCAACCTTGAACATCAAGACAAAATGGTTTGACAGACTAAGAGTCGGTGGAATTTCAGGTCTCAGGCCGGAAATTCCCATTTGGGTACGGTATATGAAATAGCTCAATCAGGGCTCCCTGATTTACCCTCAGCTTTTGAGAAGCATCAGACCTCAGCTCAACCCTTCCCACAGTCAAGGTTTTGATGATGGAGAATTTACCAGTGAATGGAATCGCGAGAATGATCACCGAGCTTATTGTACAGCTACAGCAATGAATCCCGAGTGATTGTCTATCTCTACATCCTAAACCGGAGTCAAGANTTTTTTCCTGCTTACGCTCCATTCCCCTCATTTTGTCATCAGAAAGCTGAGCCTTTGACCATCACCTCCCGAATACTCATCCAAAAATCTCTTAAGTCTTTCTACAGCACCTCTACCAGTTTTCAAAAATCTCCTAAAGAAAAATACTCTCTCTTCCATCACACCTTTGGCCACCTCTAAGTTCCTTCCATTTATATCCAGCACCACTCCCATTGTTAAACACTCCAAAATGTTCTTTTATTTGAATGCGGCTCTATATTTGTATGTTGTTCTCCACTTAAGCACTATTCAAAGTGTCGAATCTTCAATGTACTGGTACAGTGGTACACTAAAGTGGCATGGAGAGTGGAATCTAGTGGATCATACCTGCGGCTGTGCCTCAGCAAGTAACCAACTTCAGCGGGGGAACCTTTCCATAGCTGATTACAGAGCAGCATTGGATCTGAAAACCAATCGCCTCCCTGACCCTCGGTTACATTATACCTTGGAGAATGGAGCCCGGAGAAGGGTAAGAGTATTTTTTTAAAAAAAAGTGGGAAATTTTAAAATAAAATACTTGCAATAGATTTTGCATTTAAGTGGCTTGAAGGCTCAGACCATAACTACATTTACAATTCCATACTTTTACAGCATTGAAACATGCCATTTGGCCTAACCAGTCTGTGCCAGTGCATAATATATTCTGAGAAAATAATATCTCGGGATTGAAATTAATATCTCGGGATACAGTACATAGTTTGGGACACGACATGTCAAGCGACTGCCAGGATGGTGGAAGGCGAATTAGATGGACCTTGGTCTTTTTTCGCCTAGCAAATGTTCTTATGTTCTCACTCATGGAGTCCTGTAGCTCAGTGGTTAGAGAACTTGCCTTGCAAGCGAGATACCTGGATTCAATTCCAGGCAGGGTGAAACCTTGGGCAAGTTTCCTTACTCCACACGCCTAGAATCCCTCCAAAACAAAAAACATGGTCATTTTCAACGAAAGACTGTTTGTGGGACAATTGGCTGCCACGTTTTGCCCACAAATATACAGTGAATTCACTTTACAGTATATTCTGTGAAGCGCTTTGAGACGTCTAGAAAACATGAAAAAGCGCTATATCAAATGCAAGGATTATTATTATTATTATTATTAGCAGGGCCAATAGAAAATTGCGGGGGGTTGATTGGTGCTATTGAGATCTATTTTACTGCCAACCTACAAATTTTCACTTTATTGATAAAGACTAAACATGAAGAAAGAACACATATTAGATTGTTAGAAAGAAAAAAATTATTAGTGCTTTCTTTAACAAAAAGTGGGTGGCCACTCAGGAGTGGGGAGGGGTGGGGGAGAAACACTTCTACCCTGGCAAACACCAACATTTCTCACCAAACTCACCAGAGTCACCACCTCTTGCCACCACTGTACAATATATTCTGTGAAGCACTTTGAGACATCTCAACAACGTGATAAGACGCTTTATCAAATACAAGGATTATGTGCTTTGAGACATCCTCAATGTGAAAGGTGTGTGTATATATATATGTATAAAATGGTTGTTGTACCTTCTAACCTATATAGGGGTACCTCCAGCCCACCAGTTCACATTGCATGAAGGGTCCGGCCTTAACCGTAACCTACCTTTCTCCTTCAGAAGTTTATTGACCTGCTGCACATTGCAAAACAGTTTGGGCTCAACAAAAAACACAGCACTAAATCTTGCAGGAAATATTTCTTGCCAGTTCTCCTCTAGATGGCTGCATCTTGCCCTGACACACAACACAAACTCCCCCTAGTGGAGGACCTTGGGCTCTCATTTCACCAGAGTTGCAAGAATTATTTTTTTCCCCCCTCATTTTTCACTGCAAACACAGAACTAAGATATTCCATAGCATTCAATCTGTCAAACTGAACTAACACTTGCAGTGAGGAGGAACTGAGTTGTTAGTCAATAGGCGGATCGCTTCCCGGGGGCAATAATCGCTCAAAAAAAAGTGGTCACTCAATTTACGACTGTTTGTGGGATACTGCTGCGTGCAATTGGCTGCTACACTTTGCCCACAAATACAAACTCAACTTGCTTTACAATAATATTCTATACAATATGAAGCACAAAATTAAAATTTAAGACAGAGTTGTGGAAACTCCTTAAAACTCTGCCCAAGTGTGAAGTTAGAAGTCTTTCTTTTAAAAAAAACAAGTAAACAACTTTCAATTAAAGACCATAATTTAACAATTTGTTAACAACAACTTGCATTTATATGGCACCTTTCACAGTTCAGCATCTCACAGTGCTTATACTTGCATAATAATCCTTGCATTTGATACAACACCATTCATGTCGGGAAGACTCCTCAAAACACTTCACAGGAGTTCCTGCAAAGTGCAGTGACTGTGGATTTTATTAACAATTCCGTCAAATCTTACATTTTAAGAGGAAAAAGTCTTACAGAATAAAGTAGGTGGAATTTAGGCCTCAGATCCCAGCAAAACCACGCAGCAGTCACTGACATAATGAGAAATACCAATAATATTTTCAATGTAAACTTTAGTGGAAAGTGCACATTAATCTCAACAATCCATAATTGTCTGCGGTGCAATCTTGTGGATGCATTTAATAAGTCGATTTAAAAAAAGTTTTAAAACTTTCCAGGAATCTTTTCAAGCAAGTTATTTGCTTCACTCTGCTTAAACATGCAGAAGCAATCCAACTCATGGATGTAGAGTTACTCACCACTTTTCTATTCCTATTCTTGTAACTGATGTTCATCTCCTCGTGCTTCTTCACTGCTGTCTCCATTGCATTTTTTAAATCAATAGCTTGCTTCAAGCGAACATCGTGAACACCAGCCTTGGTGAATATCTGATGCAAAATTAAGAATTAATAATAATATTATCCTTGCATTTGATAAAGCACCTCAAAAGTCGTCAAGACGTCAAACATGCTTCATAGGATATACTGTAAAGTGGGTTGACTGGGTATTTTATAGACGAATATGCCAGCAAATCTGCGTACAGCAATATGCTACAGACAGCCAAAGAAGTAAATTACAAATTTTATATGAGAGATTGTTGACTAAGCAACCGGGAGAAACTCCCTTCTCAAATAGTGCCATGGGATCTTTATAGGGACGCAGAGCCTGGGGTTAAATACTCATCTAAAGAACAGCACTCCCAACAATGGAGCCCACACCCAGCACCGCATTGGAATGTCAGCCTTGTCTATTTGAGCTCAAAGTTCAACACAGGACTTAAAACTCTGACTCCGAGGCGGGAATGCTTCCGACTAAGCCTGGATGACGTCCAAGTCTTCTGAAAGCTCTATTTTAATAACAAGTAAATACAATGCGATCCGGAAATTAATTACTGAAATTAGAATTTGTTATAAAAAAATCACGATTACTAAGTGATGACGACAAACTTTGAAGTCCTGACTATAAAGTCCTTCTACATTCCATCTCAGTGTATATCTGCTTTTACACAATAGGAGAAGCATTAACTGTAGCAAAGCCACACATTTATACAGAACTATATAATGGACTGATGCTTCCACTGTACTTGAAAATGGTGAATAGACACAGTCTCAAAGGCTAAACCCGTCTTCTGTTGTAGTGAATGGAGAGGAGCTATCCTTTACTGTGGTTCAATCAGCTCTTTTGGAGAAATATTTATCTGGGAGTAAAATACAATCTGCAGTCCCCAGAGAAAGGTCACTCTCAAATATACACGTCAGCATTAAGACATGTGCATCTTGTGTGTACTTTGTCTATTTTAAAAGCACCTAACCTGTTAATAACCATATCAGTCATTATTTGCATACTATTTTGCAATTTCTTTTCAATTCCTGACTTGGGTACTTGCCTGTCCTTGATCTCAATAAAGATGGATGTGAAGTTTTTAATAATTTCAAAACAATAATTTCATTGTTCCCCCAACCCCAGCTGCCGATGATTATGTTTAAGTGGATCCGTACTTTATTTCGTCCTCTCTTTACTCCCTATATTTGAAAATTTATCCAAGATGTTAGCACTTTTACTTTGAGTTTCTCATGTCTGTTTTTTTTTAAATCTGTTCTTTTTTGTAGCCTGCTTTGGTTTTCAATAACAACTGCATGATACTATCCTGTAGTAAGTGTGGAGTTCTGTAGCGTGTTGGTTAAAGAACTCGCCTCACAAGCCAGAGGACCCAGGTTTGATCCTCAGCAGGGAGAAACCTTAGGCAAGTTTCCTTACTCCACATGCCTTTATTTACTCAGCAGTAAGTAGGAACCCAGTTGTTAGTCAATTCAGGTAATAATCCCTTCAAAAAAAAAATAAAAAAAAAAATGTGGTCACTCACTCCATGGGGGATACTGCTGTGTGCAATTGGCTACCGGTTTCACAATGACTTGATATAAATGCAAGGATTATTAATATTACTATTAAATCCACAAGCACAGTAAGCCCTATATAAACACCACAGCATTTGGTGATCAAGTCAAAACACAAATCAGATATGGAACTGACATTTTATAATTCTGAAACTGGAAGCAATAATAATACTTAATTTACAATCTTACAAGGAAGCCACTTCAAAGTATACTGGATTCTTTAGGGACAACCCTGTATCCTTTTAAGTTTTAGCAAAATATAATCAGGGCTAATAGATCTATACACACAAATAAAATATTGAATTTACTCCACAAAACTCTATATTAATAGGCCAAATAAACAAGATTGTTGGTTAGGGGACTTGACAAAACAGATTACCATAAAACTAAAAGTTATTAAGTGACATGAAAAATAAACAGAACTAACTACTGGTGGGAGTCACAAATCCTCTGATTTGGGGCCATATGGCAAGTTCTTTGAAATTCAATATTGAAAGTACCCTTTTCAGTTTGCGTCAACCTTCTCCATGTAGATCCCCAAAACTTAATATTATACAACTCGATTCTGATCATGAGGGCTGATCACTAAATGATGACGGAAGCTGATCAATCCAGTAGTCAATTCATTTTAAATCTTGATTCTAAATAGGAGCACTCATGGAAGGGGAAGAAAACACCAGGCTGCTCATAGAAGAACCTTGCACTTTACCTCTGAAAACCTGAGGACTCACTCTAACCCAAATGTTCACTGGGGAGGTAGCATAAACTCATCATTAAAGAAGAAAGCTATTTACCATTGTTTCTGCAATAGAAAATAGATATTTATTTGCATCAAAATGAAAAAAATCCATTGCCATTGTAATAAAGTTTATTAAACCTGAAAATCTATTTTAAAAATGTGGTATGAAAACAAAACATCTTCGAGACGTCTTAAAGCACTTCACAGAATATACTGTAAAGTGAATTGACTGTATTTTTGTGGGTGAAACGCAGCAGCCAATTGCGTGCAGCAGTGGATTGAGTGACCAAATTATTAACTTTTTTTTATAAATTGGTCTACAATAGGCCAGTATACACAATTAAATCAGTGTTAACAGATGTTTTCTGTCACTAGAGGCCTCTACAAAAGTTCAAATAAATATTCTGGATAAGACGCTACATACTTTTAAAAAATTTACCACAGAGAAACTTCCATCTCTTTTTGAAAGGTGCTATGAGATGGTTAACCTCGA